ATGTGAAAGCAACTTCAGAGTTATCCTATAAATTTCTCCCTTATACATTTTCTCAATCATGATGTTATGTGAGGAAAAATAAAATAAAGCTGTGGCTCTGAATTTTTGAGTGGGATGAATGAATTTAATTTTTTCCTTTTTGGGGAAAGCTGACAAAAGGTTAAAAAAGACCAGCATAATAAGACGTTAATTACCACTGACTGAGCAAATGTGTGGTGGGGGAGGGTAAATGCATCCCCTCACATGAGGCAAATTATATAGGTAGTATATAAAAATTATAATCACGTAATACTTGTAACTTTAGAATTTTAAACCCTTTAAACTTAATAAAAAATATTTAAATTTAAAAACTTTTAAAAGAAATAATATTTTAACTCATATTTTATAAATTTAAACTAAAAAAATTATAATCATTAAACATATTATTAAAAAATGAATCAAGAGTTGTTTATTTTATAATAAAATTAAAGCATAACAAATTAAAGTCATCGATAATAGTTTTTTTTTAAATTAAATGGTATATCAACTTTTTTAACATATTTTTTTTGCCTAAAGAAATCCTCAATATATATGTTTTTCAAATAAAAATATACATAATTTTTCATATCTTATTATATTTTTGTTTAATGTACTTATTTTAAAAATTATTATAATATTTTAAAAATTATTAATTTCTAAATTGAGGTGTCTCGCACCCCTTGACTCTGAATCCTGTCTCCGCCATTGTTAACTATCATGGGATAGACCCTTACTTTTATCTATCAAAAGAAGAGGATTATATCATCTAGGTACTTCAGTGATATTCATCCATCGTCTAAGAAATTTTGGACTAATTTGGCTAGGTAACCTGCATAACTCATGTATGATTTCAATTAGATATAATTGATCATAAAAAATTAATTAATATAATTTACTTTAATTATAATTGATTATGTTATAATGTGATCATGTTTGAATATTATTTTTTAAAATTAATTTTAATAGAATTAAAGATGTTTGGATACTTTAATCATAATTAAATTTAAATGCACAAGTTACAATAAAGGAAGTGAGTTTCAAAACGTAAATATTGATAAAATTGCATATAATATTATTAAAATTTTTTATCTATTTAAATTCAATGAAGCTAAAAACAGATAGATAAATAAAAAAAATAAAGAAAGAAATAAAATATATATTATAATGTTATTATAGTTCAAATAAATGAATATATTTAAGTCGTTGAAAAAAGGATATATTTAAATGAATGAATAAATAATAGCACACAATGCCTACACATTTTGGCGAGGGAGAATTTACAAACCCTGTTTTGCAAGAAAGAAGAGTGGTGTAAGGGTGAATTTGAACCAGTACAATTTTCAACAAGACGTGTGCCTTCAACTTGAAAATTGATAATAAGAAGCTGACCAGAGTAGGTTCATCAAAAAAGGGGTTTTGAAAGTATAATCGATTAATGGGGGAAAAAAAGGTCCTTGGCTTGCCCTTAGAACAGTCACTGTGCGGGGGCCAACTAATACGTGCGAGACCAAAACCAACAAAAAAAAATCTCTTTATTAAAAAATATAAAATATTTTTAATCAAAATTATCAATCAATAAAGCAGTTCTTTATTTTTAAATTAATTCTATTTTTTTATATTTTATCCCTATAAAATCATATATTTCAACCCAAAATAAATATAAATTAATTTATTTAATAGAGACACTTTTAAAAAGAAGGTAATAATTACACTTTAAAATATTAAAAATGTCTTACACTTTTTAACATCTAACCTTTTAAAAAAATGTTTTGTATTTATAAATGGAGAATTTTTTTTTTGGGTGGGGGTGATTTTACGTATACAAAAACCATACCATTTGAATTTTTATGACTATTTTTTCAGATAGTTCAATGTTTTGACGAAAATGTGCAGGCAATAAATCTTTTACAATAATACAAAACTCAGTATATAAAGACACACAAATGAAACGCGTTGTCGTCGTCATTATCTATATATTGATGGTTACAAGGGAGGCAAACAAGGGCGATTGATATATGCTGTATAAAACTCTTTCCTTTTAATGGAATGGCAGCACGTGCACAAGGCGACCTTGTGATACTAGGCTCACTTTTGTGCCGATTCCGTGCCGTTAATTGTTCAAGTTGGTTCCAGCTTGTCCTTTATGCTAAGAAGAACTAGATCGGGGGTTCTAATAACCCAGCCCGTATGTATACAAATAACCTAGCCAGCATGAATACACATGATAAAACTCGTTTTAATTCAAGCCACATATTGTGAAGGAAATTGCAAAGTCAGAGTGCATGTTTTGGTCAGATATGGTGACGATTTTTTATTGTTGTTGGAATTGGCAGTGGTCTAAACGGTAGTAGCAAAACAAAAAGTTCGCCCATATTATAATAGCGGACTTGATGGGGGTAGGAGAGTCAGCGGCGCAAGGTGGTAGTGTTGGCATATCTGCTTTTCTTTATCTTGCAACTGCCTGGAGTCGTCCACTCCCTTCTCCGCATTCCCTTCTTCGTCCACATGTTCGCAGCTTGGTTTCTTAATTATACTCGTGGGTTTAATGGTTGGACTTGGGGAGCATCTCCCAAGGACGAGGAACATAGATGGGCTATCCAAAGAAATATATAAGCAAGTATAATATTATATATTCACTCAAAATTTTAAAGTATCAAATTTACAGATTTTTTATAGTTATATGTTTCTTCTATAGGTCAATTTTATCTGACATGAGACTTCTCTCTATATTGAACCAAATTAACTCACATATGACGATCCAATAATTATAAGGCTCCTGGTCCCTTCCCCAAGCCAGCCATTCAATAGTTTCAATACAACTCGCATAAACAAATGTGATATTATATTTTAATCTGAAATTTTAAGATGTTGAATTTATGAATATTTTTTTTTTGTATATCTATCCTCTAGTCTACCTATATTTGACGTGAAACCTCTCTCCATATCAAGCTAAATTCATTTATACTTGACAACGCAACATCACACCATCTTTTGTTGTTAACAACAACAAATCAAACACTATATCACTATCTACTTTTATAATTTACTATATGTTGTTTGAATTTTATTCTTTCGATATCTTTTATTGCTCAATAATGTAGACGGCCGTTAATTAGGAGAGGCAGATCTAAAGGGACGCACCAATTGCGCAGTATACAAAACATATACGTGTGCGTGATATTTACGTTATATATAGCTAGTTAACCCATTGGCTGTTCCAACCAGTAATTATGATTTCATGTGAACCGGAAATGGACGAAGTGCTGAATCCGACCACCTTGTTTCCTTGACATCTAATTCGTTAAGCTTTGCCCACATCTCTCACTCAAAAAAACAAAAAAAAAAAAAAAGGTTGGGGGTGGGGGTGGGTTGGTTTTGCCCACATGTCACTCCATCACCTTTCGTTTTTTTTTTCCTTGGTTGACCTTGACCAGAGCCTTTCTTTTGATATATATATATATACACATACATATATATATGTATGTATATGAATAGGATGCATAATTCATATGCATTTACTCCAAGCTAATTGTTCCAGGTCCAAGTTAGTGTCACTGCAATAAAATATGGATGTGGCTTTTAAAATTTCCTTTTGTATCTTTAAAATAATTGATTTGTATTTCAGTTTATTCACAAGTGCGTTGACATTCACCTTGAGAATAAAAATGGTGTGAGATGGGGGGAAAAAGGGTAACATTTTAGTTCCGAGCCACTGGAAAGATCGTCGATCGTTCTCCAACTCGATGGACAAGTAAGGGATTTTTGAAGCCATCGAACTCGCCCTCCAACTCTCGACACCGATGGCAAGATTAATTAGAAACAGGGATGAATTTTCTTTTCGACAGCATCAAACATTACAGTTTCCTACAGTCCTATTCTCCATGCACTGTATTAATTAAATATGTCCTCCCTACAGCAGGATCAATTTGAATGTATAAATAAATATCAATGCATGCCTGAGGTGAAGTGCGTAAAACGCAATTGAGGCGATCCAATCCCACGGTACGTACTCTGATAATGAATTAACTCACTTGCAACTTACAACTTCTAACGAGCTAAACTTTCTAGTTTCTACTGATTTTCCTATGAAAAAACAGGAAAAATTAATATTTTCGAAAAAGTAGTCACTTGACCTTGATACTATCTCGTCTTATTACTGGTAACTATATTTTTAGAAAATGGTTCGGATAGAGGCAGTATTGATTCCGATACTGTCTCATCTTCTCATCGTTCTAATCTAATTTAGAAATTAAATATATATATATATATATATACTGCCTCCATTTTTATTTATAAAAAATTACCACTTTTAATTTTTTTTATATAAGCAAAATCACATATTTTAATAAATATTTATTGCAAACTTCTTAAATTATTTTTTTATGATTTTATATGCAAAATTATAATTAATTAATGAAGACTTGATTAATTATAATTAATAAAAAATATTATAATCTAATTATTTTAATTTTAAATATAATTAATATAGTTAATTAATTTTTTTAAATTATATGATATAATTTTTTGTACAAATAAAAATAGAGGGAATATACTATACAAAGAGAGATTAAAGGGTGATCAGGAGCGAAATGTCACGATTGCGTTATCTTGTCTGCGTGTCAAAAGCGCAGTGGTTGCCGAAGTCACAACTCACGGTAGGCCCCACACCATGGCCCATTTATTTATTTTTATTTATTTTGTTATCTTTTCTTTCCATCCACCTCAGGTCCTCCACCAACCCCCGCTTACCTACTACGGGGGAGGGTGGCGCGCACGCCCAACTTCCTTTCCCAAACCTCTGACTCGCCTACTCCTCAAAATCACCGTCAACTAACGCCGTCAGCTATCCCCCAACACTCCCACTTGACCATTTCCTCATGCCACGAGCCTCGCTTACACGACCTAACGCAACGTATGCCACCTCACCACCACACCCTCCCCTGTTTCCTTCCCCTATAAAACTCTTGAAAAACTTCAGCCTCTCAACCAACCTCCATTTCTGAAAATTATACTTCACACTCTCCACCATCGCCCGTTCAATTTTCCCTCATCTACCTACCATGGATCTCCTCCTCTTGGAGAAGACCCTCCTCGGCCTCTTCGTCGCCGCCATCGTCGCCATTGCCGTCTCCAAGCTCCGCGGGAAGCGCTTCAAGCTTCCCCCGGGTCCTCTCCCGGTCCCCATCTTCGGGAATTGGCTCCAGGTCGGCGATGATCTTAACCACCGGAATTTAACCGACTTGGCGAAGAAGTTCGGCGATATCTTATTGCTCCGGATGGGGCAGAGGAACCTCGTGGTGGTGTCGTCGCCGGAGCTGGCGAAGGAGGTGCTTCACACGCAGGGGGTGGAGTTCGGATCTAGGACTCGGAATGTGGTGTTCGACATCTTCACGGGCAAGGGTCAGGATATGGTGTTCACGGTGTACGGGGAGCACTGGAGGAAGATGCGGCGGATCATGACGGTGCCGTTTTTCACGAACAAGGTGGTCCAGCAGTACAGGGAGGGGTGGGAGAACGAGGTGGCGAGCGTGGTGGAGGACGTGAAGAAGAATCCCGAGTCGGCGACCAATGGAATCGTTCTGAGGAGGCGGTTGCAGCTGATGATGTACAACAACATGTACAGAATCATGTTCGATCGAAGGTTCGAGAGCGAGGATGACCCTCTGTTCCAGAAGCTCAAGGCTCTGAACGGAGAGAGGAGTCGTCTTGCCCAGAGCTTCGAGTATAATTATGGCGATTTCATCCCTATCCTCAGGCCCTTCTTGCGAGGATACCTTAAAATCTGCAAAGAAGTTAAGGAGACGAGGTTGAAACTCTTCAAAGACTACTTCGTTGATGAGAGGAAGTAAGTCGTTTCTTTCTTTCCATTCTCTATTTTCTCCCCTGTTTACCCACGCAAACAACTCTCCTTTTCATTCAACTTCATCATAACTTTTTTAGATACAGAGACCTTCACATTTTTATTTAGAAGGAATTGAAAATATATAGGAAAGAACTTCTGGCACGATAATGGGCTGGTAGATGCTTAATTTGTTGAGCCAGTATGTCAAGTCTTGATTTTTTCTGGAAATAAGTATTAAAGAATGAATGTTTCGTAACAGGAAACTGGGAAGCACCAGGAGTTCGAGTAACGGGGAATTGAAATGTGCAATTGACCACATCTTGGACGCCCAGAAGAAGGGGGAGATCAACGAGGACAATGTCCTCTACATTGTCGAGAACATTAACGTTGCCGGTAATCTTCTTTTGTCCATAAAAGGACATCTTGGTCTACCTATTTCCAGAGGGTTAATATTACTGTTTCGGGATCTAAATTATAATTATTTAAACGAGCCTGGGATTTTCACCGCAATTGGCCATTTAAGACACACCTTAAAATCAATTCTGGTATGATACCGTATGGGGTATTATACAATTATGGTAAAATGTACACACATACTATGAAGTTCCTATAGTATAGATAATATACTGTTATTGTTTTTCTACCAAAAACTTCTATTATTGTGTGACAAAAAAAAACTATTATTGTTAAAAACAGTCGTTTATGAGGGAATACCTGATACCACGGTGAATAAATGAGCCGTGATGAGCTGATAATATATATACCTACTTTCTTCTTTTCGCTCTGGGGGGCGACTGGCCCACATTAATTTTTTGGATGTTTCAACGGGGGTTGAGTGGACGGCTAGATATGTACACGGGGTGAGGGTGAAAATTCTAAAATGCCCCTAAATTCGTCCGAGCATATAGCTAAATTTACATTGTTATACTAGTATATTATGATTATTATCTCAACGAAGTTCCAGTTTAACACGAGAAAGTGATTCATACCATACCGAACCAAGAATGAAAGGTCATGCCAGAGTTTACCCAACCATTCCGAAACTAACTACCTAAATTCTTGTGAATTTCTGCTATATTTATTGTTTTGGGTTTTTAAATGTCACGGGGAACTACTTCCGTGCATAATGCGGTGGAACTGGAAATCTATTTTGTAAGTGCAGAGGGAGTCCGCATCTCTGTGAAACTATTGAGATTTTTCTTTTTTGGGTTATCCAATGCGAATATTTTCATTATCGGGGATAATTTTGGATGGTAAGTTTCATGTGAATACTTTTTTTTCATTTTTTTAAAAATAAAATATAAGATGAAAATCATATTTAAACGATCTAAATAAAATTTAAACGAAAGAATGAGCACACGCGGGTCCAATCTGAAAAGTAGGTTGTGAATACGGTTTGGACGTAAAAGCCAGATTGCAGAGTCTGGTGAGTGACACTGTCTCAATACTCTCCACGATGGTATGATTGCAACCATCGTCTGGGATTCCCTACCCCCCGGATTCCATAAATATTGAGACTATAAGTGATGTTAATTTTACCAAATGGTGATTTACTGGCCTCTTTGAGGTACTGTCTTGGGTGGACAGTTGCAGTATATTTATTATTCTATAATTTTCAGGTTTTTATACTTGGTGGCACAGGCATCCTAATTTTATAGGATTTGATCAATAAATTATTAGGTGGCCTGCTTTTATGGGCACTCAATTTTATGCTTTTATAGTTATAGTTCCCACGTGCAGCGCACATATAGCCCGACGGCATCCGCGGCTCTTCCCTATGCCCGTGCGATTATCTTGTTCTTTATTAGGTGTTTGTGTATGACAATAAAACGACACAAGGACTCACTGGTTAGTGTGTGTGTTTGATAACAGCGATCGAGACAACACTCTGGTCAATTGAGTGGGGCATCGCCGAGCTAGTGAACCACCCAGAGATTCAAAAGAAGCTCCGTGATGAGATCGACACCGTCCTGGGACCAGGCCACCAGGTGACCGAGCCAGACACCCACAAGCTCCCATACCTACAGGCCGTGATCAAAGAGACCCTTCGCCTGCGAATGGCCATCCCACTCCTGGTCCCCCACATGAACCTCCACGACGCCAAGCTCGGTGGCTACGACATCCCAGCCGAGAGCAAGATCCTCGTCAACGCCTGGTGGCTGGCCAACAACCCGGCTCACTGGAAGAACCCGGAGCAGTTCCGACCTGAGAGGTTCCTTGAAGAGGAATCCAAGGTCGAGGCCAACGGGAACGACTTCAGGTACCTTCCTTTTGGGGTTGGCCGGAGGAGCTGCCCCGGAATTATACTGGCTTTGCCCATCCTGGGGATCACTCTGGGTCGACTGGTTCAGAACTTTGAGCTGTTGCCTCCTCCCGGACACTCCGAGCTCGACACCTCCGAGAAAGGAGGCCAGTTCAGTTTGCACATATTGAAGCATTCCACCATTGTTGCCAAGCCACGGTCCTTCTAGTGTTGTAGCTGAACGCGATACATGCGATCGATCCCGTTACGTTGATTTAATTTTTTTTTTCCTTAGTGTATTTTATGCAGTTCGGACCGTTGTGTTGTGGAATGGGGAACTCTACATGGTTCTAAGAAATGTATTATATGGGGCCTGTCACTGAATGTGTCATTGTAGATTACCAACTTGAAATCACGGCCCTGAAGAGATATGGATCTTGGAATAAGTCTACACTTCCTTCCATGGCCTTGGTTGTGAGATCTTTGTTTTGATATAGTAAATTTACCATTCCAGAAGATGAAATTTTAATTAAAATACCACTCCTAAAATTATGGGCCGTCCAGTTTCTCATAAATGCAGGGGCTGGCAGAGAGTCAGGGAGCGTGGAGGGCACGTCTGGCTTAATAATAAACTACGAGTTTCGCTGTCTTTCTGACTCGCGAATTCAGTCATTCACGGGACGGGGATAAACATTGAACACAAAAAGAAAGAAAGGCTGGGTGTGCGTGCTATATGTAATTATCCGGCACCCAGCTGTAGAAAAGCTCACCGGACAATTGACATTAATTGGAGCTCCTAAATAGGCAAGTCTTAGAACACAGTTTTTCGACCAAAAAAACGAGAAGGATCACAATTTTCCCTGACATAAAAGGTCAATCAGTATTGCGGGCACGTGTCATTCGCCTAATTCCCTATAACCACTCCAGATGTCCTCTAAAATTGAATCTTGCCTTGTCTAAATCAAATTCATCCTGTTCAAATGATGAGAAAAAAAAATGAAATTAAACCTATAAGGGAAATGTCTCAATGAACGAAATTTCCCAAAACGAAATGAGGAAGGCTGTGCGTTTGGTGATCTCCACGTTTAAGAGAATCCATGACACAGTCCCGTTGGTGGATTTGATCAATTGGACTTGGTAAATGGACTAGGGCAAGTCCTTTGGGTGGTACATATCATAAGAAAAAACAAACATAAAATTACATTTAAAGACCTTTTAAAAAAATTATTCATAAATAAAGATTAATACGGAATTATTTGTTGTTAAAATGATAATAAAAACCTAATTTTTTCTTGAATAATGACTTGTTGGTTGTTCTTATTTGCAAATAATTCTATTAGCAGGTTCTTAAATGTGATTCTACCAAAAACAACCATGTGTCTTACTGTTGCAATTAATATTAAATATAATAAAATATCGAAATAATTCTGACCCTTAAAAGCGATAACTTGAATATCTTTAATAGGTGTCGTGTTCCATGGTCTATACAATTGACAAGCTAAAACTTACCTAAATAAAAAATTTAGGCAACACCTTTTTAAGATTTTTTTTTTAATTTGGAATCAGTAGGGGCATAAATCAGGAAAGGAAAAATTATTACCAAACCTCCAAATTAGGGTTGCTCAAGTGGCCTGAATACTCAAGTTGTTCAAGCTTATTGGGCTGAGTATTAGGCAAGGGTCAAACCTGCCTACCTCAAACATGTTATTTTTTTTATTTTTTTAAACAATATTTATTTAATAATATTATTTTTGATTAAATGTTATCATGAATTATATTATTTTTATGATGTTTTTGAACATTTCTTATCCTTACAATTTTTTTAATATATTTCAAAATCTAAAATTTGTTTTTAACTTAATAGTTAATATCAAGTAAAAAAAATTGACAATGGTTGATCCTATGCAATTTAAAAAAAATTTAATTCTAATATTATTTTTATAAAAATATATTTTTAATGATAAAATTATATTTTTTTAAGAAAAAAATGTTATACATTTCTCAAATTTTTTTTTTTAATTTTGGGTCAATCAGGTCAAATCTTGTCCGAACACTCAAGTATTGGGTTGGCCCGAAATACACATTGGGCAGCTCGTTGGGTAGGATGACAACTGGCTCGATCCTGTCCATATACAGCTCCATTCGCCCTGTCTATGTTTTTCCCCTCCTCGAGAGAAAACGCTCTGATATGTTTATTTTGCAAGATAGACCAGCTCTTAATATAGCCACCATCATTAATTTGGGCCACTCTAAGTTTCAAGACTAACCCAAATTGAAAGCCCATAAGCAGCAGCAGAACGAATTTCACTTGCCCACGGAGCAGGAAAACCCTAACAGCAACCTCCTCCTCTTATAAATATCGAGTGCACCATCAACAATATGCAGCCACCAAGGCCGTCCGTTATTTCTTTTTCTCCTGCTAGGATTTTCGATTTCTCTTCATATCTCTTCCAGTCTTAAGGCGGCGAGTATTTTATCTCACACCTAAGATCTGGGAAACATCCTATTCTTGTAGCTGTTTGTCTTTGAGAAAATAATTTTGGGGTTAAATATGAGTGATGAATCTGTGCACAATAAGCCGATGCTCTGGATTAACAATGAAGGAAGCATGGTAATGTGCACAGAAATTGAATTATCTTGGGTCCACATGTCTGCTCTCTCTGATCCCTGATTTGAGGGCCTGGTTGCGATCCACATTGCGCAGTTTCTAAGTTATTTCGTTCTTTGCGATTTATAATCAGTTAATCACCCTGATAAGTGTTCAGAGTTTATGGAAAGGCGAAAAAGTCTTCGGACGATTTCATACATGAACTTCTAATCAATCAATTGATTTAGAAAGTCGTGTTTTTTTTTTTAAATGTTTGATCGTTACCCTTCTGGAACCAAGGCGAGCGATTCTGGTAAAGGTTTGAACGAGTTATTTTGCCCAGAAGGACTTGACGAATTAAAATTGCATGTTTAGAAGATTTTGATGTTTTGAAAAACGTTGATGGTTCTTGTTTATTCATCACGGGACTATGCTTTGAAAGATGCGTTTCTTCGATTTGTAGCATCGAAGGTCATATGTAGAAGAACTCGATTGAAATGAGACTGTGAAGGGTAAATTTTTTTGGATGTCACGGGCCAAGGCATCTTTATTCTCCCAAGCTCCAGGAATACCAAGCGCTTCAAGCACATGAAGCAAAAACAGCAGCATGACAAACAATGAGGCAAAACAAGCATAGATAAAATAGATTTTGACACACAGATCCTAATTGTTCATTATTTTAGCGGACGACGGACTAGTAACGGATCATGCGTTCTGGTTTAATGGCTACTTGTAATCCAAACTCCAAAGCATGCCTCCATCTCTATGCCAACGCATTTCTCTTTTTATATTGAAGGGCAAATTCATGTATGCTGTGAGGGTGAGGCAGGGACTTAGCCACGCTCTGGCTTTGCATGCACCTGTTGGCCCAAGCCACTAGCTTTGGACACTCTGCTCCTATGCTTAAATTGCCAAATGTCTCGTAAGTGTAGAACCAGCTGGTGAATGGAACAAGAGCCACGTCCACATACCCTAGCTTCTCCCCTCCAAAATAAGCCTTTTCCCCGAGCTCTCCTTCCAGCCTTCTCAGGCACTCTATGAACTGTTTCTTCCCTTCTTCTTGCTCCTTTCCTTTCATTGTCCACACTTTCTTTCCCATGCTGTATACCTGCGTCATTCACAATCCACCCAATTGATTATGCCTGTCTTGCGTCTGTTTGATTGCTTGTGAGAGGCGTGACAGACCCATTTAACTCAAGACTAAGTAATTTGTCATATATAGTTTTATTAAATGTCTGTTCCATCCTTTAAAGATTATTTGGCGTTTTGTCATGGTATGGACACCTAGTATTATTTTAAATGCTTTTTGAATGACTATAACAAGTGTGAGTGGAATAGTGAAGCGGGAGTACAGCAAGATAGTAAGCTTACATTCTTGTCAATGTAATCACCCCAAAATCTGGCCTGGGATCTCTGGTAAGGATCAGAGGGAAGCAGATGAGGCTCGTGGTTCCAGGTCTCGTCAATGTACTGAACAATATTCAAAGACTCACAGATGGGTTTTCCATCATGAACCAAAATTGGGATCATTTTGTGAACTGGATTCTTCTCCAGAAGCAGAGAGCTTTTGGCTCGCAGGTCTTCTTGCTTGCACTCGTATGCAATGCCCTTCTCGGCCAAAGCAATCTTCACCCTCATCGCGTAAGAGCTTGGCCAGAAATCTAACAAAACCACACTGTCTTGCTCCTGATGACGAGCCATTTGCCTTCTGAGCTATGTAGATCAGCTGTAAAATGGTTGATTCAATTGTCAGATTCTGCCAGGGCCTGTGTGGGAAAGAGATATTTATTGTTGTGTGAGATTAACGAGATCGGTTTGTGGCTTTGCGACGATGATGTCATTGCTCAAGTGGGATTGGGGAACCTTGTTCTCCAAGTTCAGCATAACTTAGAATTCAAAGTCATAACCAGCTGATTTTTTAGCATTATCTGATATCTTCTTATGCAGAAAAAGCCAGTAATATTTTGTTTATTTTAATAGAGAACAGGTTTTCTACTTTCAGGTTTTTTCTGCCCATAATAGGATTAGCTGATTGCAAAATCTTATCACGAGAGTGGATGGATAAGTATACCGATTATCAGTTTCGTGGCGCTTTACCCTGGTGAATGGCAGGACATCGCAATTTTTTTTAACATGTCAATTAAAAAAAAATACTAAAACTTAAATAATGTGTAAAATATATATATATTATATATATTGCTTTCCTCACATGCCCTTAACTAAATGCTTCATCGGAAAGCAAGTCTTACAGTAATTTTAGAGAAGGTCGCTAAGTTCAATTTTAGAAATTTAAAAATTTTTATTGGATTTTATTGTAAACAATAGATAAAATGTAATTAAATTGAATAATACTTCCTCCATTAAAAAATATCTTTTAAGAAGTTACGTGTTAAAAAATATAATATATTTTTAATCTTTTGAGATGTAATCATTGCTTTTTTAGAAGTGCCCCTATTGATAATAATTTTATCTTTATTATAGGTGTTTAATAGGGATAAATATGAAAAGATAAGATTAATTTAAAAATAAATAATTATTTTATTAAGAAGTAAGATTTAATTAAATATTAATATTTTTAAACGGAAGAAATAATAGAAAGAAAAAAAGTGTCGGGGAGTTGAGATGGAGTCTTTCACTCACGTAGATCAGGGTCTTCCTAAAATTGGGCCTTCTGGGCCTAAGTTAAAACAATCCTCTTATTGCTGGACCTCTCTAAAAAAAGATTAGTAGCGAGTGGCTCATAACGGATGAATTATGAAAGAATTACTAATCAGAGAGTTATGTCTAATAGAAGAAGTTAGTTTTTTCAAACTGAATCTCATACGATAACTCAAGTAAAAAGATATTGATGCAAGAGTTAATATTTAAGAGGAAAAAACCGTGATCAAACAAATATTTAACAAAAGAACTACTGACGAAGAAATAAAATGAGAAACCATACACAAGATTGACACACTACTATTGTGACTTTACAACCAAAAAAAAAGGACAAAGAGATATCAAGAGTTTTGCGTGCATATTATAATGTCATTATTTTTTATTAACAATAAAATCCATGAGTATATTATTTACCAATATACCTCATTCAGTAATTTACTAGTGTTCTGTTTTGTATTCTTCCACCCTTATTTGCTAGACTTGAAATTGATTTTTCAGCTCTCTCACCAACATCTCTAATAATATCTTTTGTGCATGTTTGATCAAGTGGCGTTGTTTGGATTAATAAGAATTCTATTTGAATTTAAATTTAAATTAAATCTATCATTTAAATAAACAATAAACAAACTTTTGTAGATTTAGATTTAATTTAAATTTAAATCCATCTCTTGTTACTTTTTTTTTTGTAACTTCGAATTCTTCATATATTTTAATCACCTGAAATTTCAATTATTTTAAATTTAATTCTTTTCTTATTTTTATTATTAATACTTTCATAATTCTTATATTTTTTTCTTATTTCTTGATAATTGAAGAATGTATGTAAACTTGTTACTTTTAATTTTTCATTTTCTTTTAAATCTCAGCTCATTTTTTTTATTTATTTAATTTTTTTAAAACACCCAAATAAATAAATTTTAAATGTGAGATTTAAAATTTAAAATTAAAATTAAAATTAAAATTAAAATTTATCAATCTAAATACTATCTAAACAATTTTCTACCATTATACCACGTCAACTCTTTTTCGTGCAAGATTATTACAAATGTTAGATTATATATATATATATATATAATCACACGTTCATTACAACATCACGGTATTCACTAAACTTCATGCTTTTGAGAAGCATGAGAAGGGAACAAAAATAAAAGGAGGCAAGACAAAAGTAGCAGAAAGTGCAGAACAGAAAGGAGCGAGATAGGCTGATAAGAAGGAAAATGTGAAGGAGATAGAGTTTGACGTGGCAAGATGTTACGTTCTTGGGAATCTGCTGCCGCACTTCTCTTCTTATTCTTAGTCTCATTTTGCAAAGAGTCAAGCTTTATCATTGCTTCTGCTTGCCATCTTCTTCAAACACCCCGGGCCAAAAGTAGAGGGTTTATTTTTTAATTTTTAAAAATTATTCAAAAGTAATTAACTTCAAATAAATTTAATAAAAATAACATAAGTTCATTCATCGACAACTGTGTACAGGCTGCATGGCTCCGCATTTCCGCTCATAAAAAAGATGAGCACTAAGATATCATCATTTCTAAACTATTCATATTCAATTTTAATGGTTCAGATTTATAGTCTTTTATTTTTTTAAAATATTTGAATTGATATAAAATTTAAAATAAAGGCAATCTTATAGTCGTCAATTTTTTTTAAAATAATTATTTATTTAAAAAGCACCAATTGAAAAGGTGTAAATTTGTGCCATGAAAATTAGATCTGAACCATAAAGAGATAATGAGCACTGAAGCAAGTTGCTTCATATTAACGCTTTAATTGCTGCAATAAATATATTATAATTATTTTAAACATATTATGATTTTATGCTCGTAGAAAAGTAAAATGAGTAAGTAGCTAGCTAAGAATTTTAATTATTCAACTGAATATTGATATTATATAAAATTAATTTTTGGCTCAATTATACATTATTTATTTTAAACCATATACATATAGTTTCCTTAACTTTTAAAATTTCACAATGAATTCCCTCAATTTTTATATTTATACATACAACTTTATATGATTAATTTTATACATTAATTATATACACATAATTTAAAGTTTAAGGGATAATCTATATATCAATTAATGTTTGGGGGCTTAAATGCATAAAAAATAAGGTTTAAGGGGATATATAATTAATAGCTATAGATTATTTGCATAAATTTAAAAATTTAAAGACACTTGTTATTAAGTTTTAAAAATAGAATTTAGAAAGTTTATTGTAAATTTAGCTTTACCCCAGTCATTGAAAAGATTCACTGAAGATTTGAATAGAAATTAAAATTCCCTTCACCGCCAAGCATTGATTTAATTACGCCCTAATTAAGTCCCATGCGATGTTTTGCCTTGTCATACCAGCGGTTTTTTGGTTGACCGAACACCAAATATTGATATATTCCCCTGTTAGTAATTTTTTTTTATTCACTATCCAGCGTCTTCCGTATATTGAGTATTGACATGATCATTATTGATTGAATATTTTTGTGGTCCTTCAGAAAATTCCATGCATGAAGGCTGGAACAGAATTTCCGTCTCTGAACGAATATTAATTTACACCCTAATTAATTCCTGGCCTCCTCGGCGATTTTTTGCCGTTTCATTGACCATAAACAAAATATCATCGTCACTTGAGCATACTGTTAGTTCTTAATTATTTGAGCCCTTTTCTCTCGATTATAAAGTTTTTCTGGATGAAGAAATGGCTGGCATTATATAAATTTTGCTAAATTTTTTCTTGCCTTTTGTTTTGTACATGCGTGTGAACTTCCAATGACATTTATATATAATATGAAACCATTACAATCATGCATGCGAAAATCGTGCTAGATATCCTGAATCATTCGAGTTGATGCCAGGAACTATAAGGGTAGAAAACTCTCTTAACAAGTTAAGTATTTAACACAATTACACGCTTAATTAAAATTAGAATTCCAGATAACTAATTAGTACAACTCTTATGATCCAGCCACACGTTGGCTGATCCAGCCACACGTTTCACTTTTCATATACACGGAAGATGAGAGTTGTTTGACGTAGACTTGTACTTGTATATACCATATTGATAAACCGATATGGGTTTTAATATTTTAGTCATCAATACATAATAAATCTGTATGATGGGCATGTGGCATGCATGCATCAACATAAAATCCATAAACGATAAAAAGTGAAATCGCTCCCAAGTTCTATAATTGTTTTGTTCTTTAATAATTTTTCCACGTGTTTTGTTGAATTGTCATGTATGTTTTTTTTTTTTTTTTTACTTTAATCTTTTTTTGACACGCAAGCATGATTTAAATGTTAGGAACTGTTTGAAATTTAAACCTTTTTAACTTATTATCAATCTTACCCATTGTACTAGGGAAAGATAATCATATCTTCTAATCCATCCATTAAAATAAAAAGAAATTAGAGCTGGTCAAATCAACAACTCGGTCATGTAATTCTAAAAGCGAGATGCAGACAAGGAATGAGCTGGATTTTAAGTGATTTGTTAAAACTCGATAAAAAGCTCTCTAGGAAACAAAATCGACAAGTTTTGTAAATTCGTCTCCGAGATCTAAAACCAATTCGTTTTCGAGGGCATGGAAAAAAATATTTAACATCGTTTATGAAGCTTCTAGAAAATAGGAAATTTTGGGCACTAAATAGAGAACGGTGAAAAGTGCAAATGACTAATATGACAAAATAACTATCTAAACTTTTAATAAAAGACTCGGGTCGGGCGAAAGATGCTGAAAGACAGCGCCGAACTAATTTATACACTATATAATTATCAAAGTACGTAAAACTAGATAGATCATTAAATCAGTTATGACACTAAATCACGAGTTAGTGATTCAATTAGGGTTGAATCGGGGGTTGAACTGGTGACAAACCGATCATAATTAAAATAATATAATTTAAATAAAAAGATATTAATTATAAAAATATTCAATCAAATCTAACTACTCAAAAGTTTAACAATAATAAAATACACACTTTAAATATCTATTATTAAAATTAAAACTTTTCAATCTCAAAAGTTTAGAAAAGGGATGGAGATAGAGCTGAAGAAGAGACGGAGATTGAGCTGGAAAAGAGACGGAAAGTCAAAGACTAAGTTGGAGAAGAGATGGAGATAGCAAAGACAGAAATAAAGCTGAAGAAGAGACGGAGATAGAGTTAGAGCCTAGAGAAGAGACGGAGACTAAACTAGAGAAGAGACTCTAATTAGGTTAGGGCAAGAGAGGAGCGACACAGATGAAAGGCCGAACTAAATACTGTTTGAAAATCTGGATTGGACTTAGCGTGCTCTACCTCTAATTTTTCATTTTACTTTTTTACTTTTTTGTTGTTATCTTATTTCTGAACTCAGCACTCTGAAAATTAAAAATGAAAAAAAATCTCCAAAAAAAACCCGGTTAACCCAGTCAACCCACCGGGTTAATTGGGTTGAATCCGGGTTGATCGGGTTATACCTATTCATTTCCCTCACCGATTTAGGAGTAAATCCAGACCGAACAAGGGATCAGGTCACCGATTTTCGGGTTGACCCGACCGGTCCGAGTTTCCATGCCATGATAATCATAGATATTGATTGATTCTGTCATTCATTTTTTATCTATATAATTAAAATTAAACATTACTACAATTTAGTTTATTTTAAAAACACAATGTGTATTATTATTGCGGACCAATCCAAACATGAATTTCAAACCGCCACACTTGATTTCACGTAGACGAGGGATCCATATAATGGCATATTTGTATTCCCGTAATATAATATAAGTGCGCATAATTTAACAACTAATTAACCATATTAGACTACGTAATACTGTATTTTATGATGATCATTTTCTCCGCTCAAAAAGGCTCCATTTGCTTCCATTATGTTACGAAGAGTGCAATCATAAGCAAATACTGAAAATGATCGGAAAACGCAGTTATATTTTCTATTGTCTGTTCATGATTTTGGTCAAATCAATTAATTGTCCAGTTGGCTTGGTAGGTGATCAACGAGGCTTTCTCGTGAAAGTTTTCTTATTTAAACATTATTCTTTAACATATACATGCAATCATGAAATCGTATTGATATAGAAATTAATTTACAATATTGTATCAACAAAAGAAATTAATTTACAATATATGGTCCACGACACATTTAATGTTGTCTATAAGCAGTTGGGAAAAAGAAAAGAAAAAAAAAATCGCGCGACAGAAAGGCTTTGCTATCTCTTTTTTGGGCCAACGCATTGCTTTAGTTTCGGACAAAATCTTTTACCCCCATACGCACAGGTTATAAACAACATCAAGTAATATTGTAAAAATTAGTATTCACAAAAGAAAAAATTGTACTATATAAAATTTTAAATTGCACATACTTAAACATGAAAATTTTAAAAATACGATGTTCTATTTTTTAAATTGTCATACAAGTAAAAACATTAAATACCAAGAATGAATTAGCATTGGCATTATAAGAAGACGTGGGTTCAGAGTATTTGATAAAAAATTGGATGAAAAATTATTTTTCTTCCACGCGGGGGGGGGGGGGGGGAAGAAAGATGAAAGATGATTTTATTTAACAGAAATCCGAGTGATTTTCATTTTCATCCCCACAGCAATTAAATTCAAGATTTCGTTTGGGTAGGGTTGAATTTGGTACCACTTAATCCAACGGCAAGTGATTAAAATATTCAAGGATGACCAGGGAGCATGGAAGGGTGTACGGCGAGAACAGTGTCGTTTTCATGTATGGATATTCTTGATTAACTAAAAAGATATTTTTTTAAAAAATAATAGAAAAATATATCTATTAATTTTTACACTTTTTTTTATATTTTAAATTCTATACTTTTATTTTTTCAAAAATAATTTATGACTAGTTGTTAATTTGAAATATCTAAATCTATTCAAAATTATTAGTTGGAAAAATAATATATGGCATGGTCTTCAAAAATAAAAATAATTTAAAAATTAAAATCCATAGCCGATAAAATCGTAAGGAGATGGAGCGGATGTGGTGAGAGGCGGCAGCATTTTTCTTGGTGGCGAAGGAAGTTAGGTGCTTTTAAAAAGAATTAATTGTTTTTAATTTTTAACTCACTTGTAAATCAGTTTTTTAATTATGACTCGTTGTGATTTAATTCCTTAATTATAACTCACTGTGACTCAATTTCTCAACTTTTGATTCACCTATAATTTGATCTTTATTTTTTAATTTTTTTTTAAAAATTTCTTATTAAATAAGAAGGATAAAAAATGCTCATATATTATTTTAAATTACCTTCCTTTTACTTGTTGGTGTGAGATATAAGTTAATATAAAAAATTAATAAAAATTTAGAGATTAATTTATAAGTGATTAAAAATTAAGAGATTAAGTTATATGTGAGTTATAATTAAAAAACTGACAGTGAGTTATAGTTAAAAGATTGAATTATTAATAAATAAAAAATTAAAATATTAAAAGATTAATTTTTCATTTTAAAAAACGTTGTAAAAAGATAAAAACAGAGTGAATGCGCCTCTCCCTGTAAAAATCATAATTACTTTCCGTTGCGCCCACAGTAATTATAATGTCACCCTAGTTCTGAATTCTACGCACCGAAACCCGCGGGTGAATGTAAGATGGTCTCTGCAAAGTAAAACAGAGTAAAAGGAGGGGACGACTTGTTAAGCGGTGGGGGGTCTTCAAGTGTCGTGCATGCATTTTATGCATCTGTTGCTTTGCATGCACTATATCCCTCCCCCGTCCCCCCCCTCTCTCTCTCAACGCCCACACACGCTTACGCCTTCTCTCTCTTCCTCTCTCACACCCTCTCAAATAAATCGCTGATGGCCGTTACACTCATCGCTTCTCTGATATATGCCTGCGTTTCTTCTTTGACTTTGATTGACTCTGTTCTTTGCCTCTGCTGGTAGCAAAATTTTGCATTTCAGGGGTTTGGTTACGGAGATTTAAGTGAGAAACGGGGTTAGGAAGTTAGGATCTTTTTATGCTCTGTTCATGTGAATGAGTAGCTCCTAGGTTTATTTTGCATATTCCCTCGTCAGGGATAATGTTTGTTTTCTATTATTGCTCTTATTCCTCTGGCAAATCTTAAAAACCCTGCATGAATCTGTGTGATGATGGGTTTAGCTTATAGTATTTCCCTTTTATCTCAAAAGGGGTTTTCAGGGATTTGATTTGATTTTTGTGATTTACAGAGATATTTTGTGGTTCGGAGAGTGATTGGTTTTCAAATTCATGGGATCCGAGGTTTGTGTCGGTGTTTCCGGTGGGTCGGCCACGGCTCATGAATGGAAGAAGGGGTGGCCTCTTCCATCTGGTGGATTCGCCCAATTTTGTAACAACTGCGGGTAAATTCTTTATGCCCCAATTTATTTGTTATTATCAATGTTATTTCATGATGTGAAGGTAGTTTGGGATTGAGTACTGCATCCTTTTGACTTTGCCCTTTAACTAAGCTCAAATAGGATTAGAAAAGTTAAATTTTTTTTTAACCCTCTGCAATTTTGCCTTATATCTGGGAACTGTAATATGATGGCTTTGATTGTATTATAGTCAATGGATGTATGATTACTATATAATAATAATATCCGTACTAATTAAAATGAAGTATCCAATGCTTTGATGTTTGTTAAAAAAATTTTCTCATCTTTTTATTCCTTTTTTGTGTTTTATGCGTGTTAATAGAAGTTATAAATTAATAAAATGGAACTGCGGAAGGGTCTTAAATATGAGAAGTCTGGTCAATTTTTGTAGTTCTTTGCCAGTCTTTATATCTTTGTTTCTAAAATATTTTGAACTTGCTCGTTCATTTATTTTAACAGTCAGCTTGAAAATAGAACATGAGGATCAATGTATCTAATTTGAGTAATATCTCTGAACATTGATATTTTAATATAACCGTTCTTAATTGTTGGCATAAATAATTTGTTAATGGTATTTCACATCATATATTTTGCTGACCAATTTGTTTCTGTGGTACTAGAATTTCGATTGAATGCAAGCTTGACAACTTCGATTCCATGTAAGTGCAGCTAAATGATTTATACGTTTCTATTATGAGTGATTGTTGTCATGATCGTTTCACAACCATCAGATCTTTGACTTTGATGTGCAACTTAAGATTATGTGGCACTATGACCTTTTGGTATTCTCAATTCGTTTCTTCTTGTTGGTCTCACTTTTTAACCCAACCTGGTTGCCATGGATCTACTGTTTCTTTGCCTCGTTTTGGTCATCGATTATAAAACTAAGGTTTCCAAATATTACTTATCAACAAGTAGGATCCACTGCATATTTTAGTTCAACTTCTCAAATCACTCTTCATTCTTTTATATGTTGTGTGGATCTTGACATGGTTTAGGTTGTAATAATTTTCTACTTGATTTGGTATTTCCCATGTGGATCATCTTTGATGTACTGCTCTATGTACTTTAGATCTGCCTATGAGGCATCCATTTTCTGTAATAAATTCCACCTCGAAGAAACAGGTTGGAGGGACTGCAGCTTTTGCAACAAGGTAAGCTGATCATTTTTTAAAAAAAATTATTTTTGATGATTGTTTGTCAATCATGTTTCCTTAAAAATTATATATAAGCCTTCCCTTACTCTTCTTAGATATTAAATCTATTTGACTTGGTTTGGCAGCCTATCCACAGTGGATGCATAGTATCAAGGTATTTGTTCGACTACCTTGACTTTGGAGGTATAGGTTGCATCAGCTGTATAAAGGCTTCTCGATTGCTTCTGGTATGTTTAATGTGGACAATTGTTCACGCATAATGACTTCTTGGTGTAAATTTTGTGCTTGCATTGGTGTTGAAATGTTCTTTTTATGTCAAAGTTTATTTTGTTTGTTATTGTTGATAAACCATGCTTCTAGCCCCACCTAGGCCAGAGAGCCTCCAGGAGAAGGGGGTGTTGGTCAACCATTCACTTTTGAGATTCAGATCGATCAATTTTAGTGTTTAACGTGGATATCTGAATCATGGTCGCAAACACAATGATTTAACAAAAGAGTGATTGCTTGTATCAGCATCTTGCAAATTTAAAATATTTATAATAGCTAATCAATGATTGTTTGAAGGGCCTTATGCTTCTGAATATGGTTGCAATTATTTCACACATGTCTACCACCAAACTTCAACTTGCTGTAGTATGGCGGTGGTGCATGTGTGTAGTTCTGATTATTTAAGGGCCTCCTGCTTCTGTCTTACTGTTATTTTCTAATAATGTTAAGCATATATATATATATATATATTTTGCTTCCTTGTTGGTTCTTTTAACGATTCTGTGCCAGATACCCTGTTACTGCTGTTATTTTGCTATCCACTTTATGTGGTGTAAGGTGTTGTAAGACTGCACAAAAGCATATTACGTTGTTTGGCTATCTGACATAGCAAATTCAATGGCTCCTTTTATTTATTTATTTCTGCATATGCAGAACACTAAAGAACCTGATGGGGCTGTTACATCTACCACAACAAATGCAAGTGATTGTACTCCTCGTCAAATGGATGGGAAACTGTTGGTGGATAGTGTCGGTGAAGGAAAACTTATGCAATTATGCAGAATTGTTGAAGCTAGTGAGACTAATGGTTGGCATCAACCTCAAAGAGATAAAATGATCTCATCTAGTGGGCTAAAGAGCCAAGAAATTAAGTGTCTGACAAGGGATGTGGATTCAAGATTTTCAAATATGATTAAAACATCTATTCATTCACTAAAATTTCCTTTAGAAAATACTAGACCAACATGGGAGATTAAAAATATTCGTGAATCACCTGCACAACCATCTTTGAGTATGTCCCTGGGAATTCCATCAGGAAACTCTGCCCCTGCTTCTGCTGGAGAGATTGTAGAAGAAAGGCTTGAGGGCAAACCATCTTCTGTGTTTCATCAAGGGCAAAGATCTCACCCTGTATTTGCTAAACCATCAAAGACTGGTCTTGCCATGAACATAGAAACAAGCAAAGGAATGAATTCTCAGGCATGTGTTGCCCGGCCATCTGTTGAAGGAAGGGGCAAGAGTCAGCTACTTCCTCGGTACTGGCCTAGGATTACTGATGAAGAGCTGGAGCAATTGTCTGGAAAGTATCCTTTTGGATTTTTTTTTTTTTTGGTCTTTTGCACTTATGCAGAATTTTGGTAATTGCAGATCATTTGATCATTAGTTGCCCTTAATGTTATAAAAGTTTGAAATCCACTGTAGTGCCATTATTTGAGAAGGTGTTGAGTGCCAGTGATGCAGGTCGAATTGGGCGCCTTGTTCTTCCAAAAGCTTGTGCTGAAGTAATTCTAGGACTTTATTTTCTTTGATGCCTCATTTTGCTTCTCTGATTCTTTATCTCTTTGTATATCTGTTTTAGACCTATACTTTCTTTTACAAGAAACTTCATTTTGCCCTGTAATTCCAATGCACTGAACAAGCTAACATATGAATTGCAGGCTTTTTTCCCTCCTATTTCTCAGTCAGAAGGTCTTCCTTTGGAAATGCAAGATGTGAAGGGAAATGAATGGACTTTTCAGTTCAGATTTTGGCCTAATAACAATAGTAGGATGTACGTACTGGAGGGTGTGACCCCTTGTATACAGTCAATGCAATTGATTGCGGGTGACACCGGTATATATATCAATCTAGAGAAGAAATTGGTTCCACCTATTGCATTATCAGTTTTCAATTTATACTTTTTTTAAAAAAAATTTTTACTGCAGTAACATTTAGCAGGATTGATCCTGGGGGCAGATTTATTATGGGTTTCAGAAAGACATCAAATTCTCTAGAAACACAGGTTTTGAAATAGAGATTCCCACTTTACTATGTGCCGCTACTTCTTAATATAACCAACTTGTAGTCTTCTGAGCCATTGTTGAATGTGAAAACTATTTTAAACAGGATGCGTCTACATCTACACATTCCAACGGGATTACAACAAAGGAAATAGTCAGTTCTGGTGCAAATGAGAACCTTCCTTCAGGAAGTAGTTATTCTGATCTTCTTCAGTCTATGGAAGGGAACAGGGAACCTCACTTAAATAGACAATCCGAACACCTGCATTTGGGTAGGAGGGTAGCTGACTTCCCTCAAACAGAAAATTATGGCCAGATGACAAAAAATGATTCACTGCAGCAATCAATTTCAGTTTCAGAGAAGAAAAGGACTCGGAATATTGGGCCTAAAAGTAAGAGGTTACTCATTAATTGTGAAGATGCTTTGGAGTTGAAACTGACGTGGGAGGAAGCACAAGACTTACTTCGTCCACCACCCAGTGTTCAGCCAATCATTGTTACGATTGAGGACCACATTTTTGAGGAGTACAATGTACGTGTGTCACTTTCAAATTAATATATTAATCTGCAGGTTTTACTATTTAGTTGAATATGAACTGATAGAGTCTCAAGGTAGTGTTTAAATTTCCATTTGGCTTTGCTAACAAGTGTGGTCCCTCTCCTTCATTTCATTAGGAACCCCCAGTTTTTGGGAAGAGAACTATATTCATTGCCTGTCCATCTGGGTAAGATTATATGCAATTTTATTGCTGTATTTTTAGCATTATATTTAAAAATAATTGGATATCTTGAGTGAATACCAGGATTTCTAGATAGTGTTCGTCACTTGGACTTGCCACAAACAGAAACAATAATTTGATATTTTTCTGGACCCATGTCCTTTGTGCATTGTTGCTCTAGCTTTTTTCCTGTTAATTAATTAATCATGACCACTTTGTTAGCTACTTGACTGCTGTAAGACTGCTGACAGTATGTCTTATGTCATGCCTTTCCGTGCTTGTCTCCTCAGTAAATGTTAAGACTATGGGATGGGAGTTATAATAGTTTTTCCTCTTTAAATGTTATATTAACCTTTTTGTGGTACCTGTGATTCAATGTGTTTAACTCTTTCATTCAGGGGACAGGAACAATGGGCTTCATGTGATGATTGCTCTAAATGGCGAAAACTACCTGTTGATGTTCTTCTACCTCCTAAGTGGACTTGTTCTGAAAACGTTTGGGATCCAACCAGGTACTTAATTGTTGCCTTTCTAGACTTGATATGAGAGATTGATCGTACAATGAGGCTGTTATTAATGTGGGAAATATTCTTTAGGTCTTCATGTTCTGCACCTGAGGAGCTAAGGCCCAAGGAGTTGGAAGATCTTTTGAAATCCAGCGAAGGTTTGATCATAGTATCTGTTTCTCACTCCAGCTTTGCATTTGTTATGTTTTGGACAGGCTTTAAAGCTAGCATTGCAGTCCAAGGGATTGAATGCTCCTAGCGTATTATACACCTATGGAAGATCTTCACTATCATAAAATTATTGAGATGTGTTTTTTAATGATACATAGAATGATATAACCTCACTTAGTGGGATAAGGTTTCTTGTTGTTGTTGTATAAAGATTGATATAATGCTTGTCAAATTCTTCTCTGCCTCCCTATCCTTAAATTCTGCAAGTTTTTTTGCTGTCTGTGTGGTACATGGACGTTAAGTGCCTGTCATATTTTTGTGCGTATTGAAAGTTCGGAAGTAGTGCATTAAAGATAACTTTCCTTTCCCCCACCCCCCTTTTTCACATCAAAGGGTAACTTGCGGAATATGAGTCCTCCAATGCTATTATCACGTTCCTTTCCAATGTTCTTGCTAATTGGATTGTACCTTTTTAGTCTTTTCATCCTTTAAGATTTAGTGTAATAATTCCTGAATCATTGCCCTGAATTTTTGCCAGACTTTAAAAAACGAAGATTTGCTGAAAATAATAAGTCACCCCAAGAATTTGAATCTTCAGGCCTTGATGCTCTTGCTAATATGGCAGTATTGGGAGATAGTCTCGGGGATCCTTCTGGGTCATCAGCAGGGCCCACCACCAAACATCCTAGGCATCGTCCTGGCTGCACCTGCATTGTCTGCATTCAGCCACCAAGTGGAAAGGGAAGACATCATTCTACCTGTACTTGCAATGTGTGTATGACTGTGAAAAGGCGGTTCAAAACCCTTATGTTGCGCAAGAAGAAACGCCAATCTGAGCGTGAAGCAGATGCTAGCCAGATGGATCATAGAGAAGAGTCAGATATGAATGGCGCACCTAAGGAAGACGCAAGCCATGCGGAGAAAGAGGGAAGCATAAATAGAGGACAGCTTGAGGTTTGTGAATCCAGTTCTGTACAGATAGATCTGAATAGCCATCCTGATCGCGAAGACATGCAAGTTGATGCACCAAGCATGAATGGTCATGTTGAAGGTCCAAGCTATCCAGTACAACAGGTATACGTGGATCAAAATGTCCCTAACGGAGGTCAGGGATACTTCTCTAATGGAGGAAGCTTTGGACCAATTGTCTGGGAGAATGAAACAAGAGAAGACAAGGCATTCTATGATCCCAATTCAAGTCAGAACAGTCCACCTTGATTATCTCTTTACTGTATTTTTTTCTCCTATCTTAAATTATATAGTTTGCTTTCTTTTTCCAGTATATATGGTAAAACTTAATTTCTTGTCAACCTGGATGTGATTCTGGTCGCATATTGTCTTGATAATTTTATTCACAAGGAGATGGGTTTATATATTAACTTCTTCTCGTTCTCAGATTATGAAAGATATGAACAAGGTTACTTTGTTCGTCTGTTTAACAATAATTTTTGGATGTTTGTTGTTATTAGTTGTCTTTAATTAGTAAAAGCGTGATGACTGGATAACTTTTCATAAGTCTTGAGTCTTCACGTCATCAACGATGAGAGACGCAAGAAAAGGACAACAATCCTGGGAAAAGTGAGTTACAGACCAGTATTAGTGCATGTGAGTTAGCTTAAGCTTCCGTATGCATATGTAGTTCACAGTTTGTTGTTCATTCTTTTAGTTTAGTTTCCGACCACTTGGATCGATCCACGAGCTCTCTGGCTCCATATGTTCCACGTGACTCAGTGCCTTCACATACAGTTCATTCGTCTCCTTGTCTACCTCGGTATGATATCTGATGCGCATTGGTTTACATACTAAATTTGACATCCTGTGAGTTTCAAGTTTAACTCTACTGTACAGACCCGTATAATAATATAAATCTAGTACACCTCATCAGTGGTATTAACGAATCTCACAAAAATGCTGGAGGTCAGGCAATTGGTTGGTGCTGTAATACAGACAGTAGTATATATAGCAAACATGACTATAACTTTCAAGTAAACTAACAAGGCAAATGAAATTCTTTCCATTTGAGTACAGCTACGCATTTCTGTCTCATTTATATCTTTATGATCACAAGTTAAATAAGTAATTTTTCATCTTGTTTAAAACAGTGTTTTGTAGAAATCATGGTAATCAAGGAACATAATTACAACAATCACAACATAAATGCGAGTACATGATAACCACAAATGATCTCTAAGTTATAAGTACTAGAACAATTAGCAATAATCTCTAAGTTATAAGTACTAGAACAATTAGCAATAATACAACTCTTGAGTTACATAACTTGGATGAGCATGTGGTTATATGAAAGGAAAATAAAATAAATAATAAATAAATAAAATATATGCTCTCACTCTAATTAAATAAATAAAGTATTAAATATTGACAAAAGAAAACAAAAAATATAATAATATATTTAAGATGAGACTAAACGTTCCAATGATGATCCATGTTTTATCCCACAAAGTCTAGCTCCCGTTTTTTTAAGCTGAAATAGATTTGTCCTGACATGATTAATATGAAAGCAGGCTAATTGAGACGAGGACAAACATGAATACCCTTATGAAATAATTTTCGATGACCGTCTTCATAATAAACTATTATCAAAGGTACAAAAAGAAAAAACGAATTTTATATCTCATCGTATAACCATCTTCCAAGCACTTCATATGATAATTACGCTGAAATGATCCTCAGGTCAATTTAGTCTACTTAAATATGAAACTACAAAAAACGTTAAGGCACTTCATCTTTCAGTTTTTAACAAGCCACAACATTGCACGGGTTGGCCAATTCAGAAGATGCAAATTAAGTAATGATAATATAGTTTAGATAATTACATTGGCTAACAAAAGCTACTGTCTCCATACAAATTTAGTATTTGGCAAAAAAATGTTTAATAAGGAAGTCATTCTTCATTGTGTTTTTAAACTATATATACAGGCAGATCAAAACCAATTTTTACAAAAAAAAAATCATGCATTTGTACCTTAGAGATTTTAGAAGATTTCATAAAAGATCACATTAGTAGTGGTTGTTTTAAGCCATTTATTAGTGTCATGAATCAGTATTCTCAAACTATCCATGCTTCTGACTCTAAAAAGTATAACGTATAGCTGATAGTATGTGAAGACTGGTCTTAACAAAAAAAAGATTAATAATACAATGATTTGACCTTAACTTTTGTTTACTGTCATTACAAAAGAAAAAGTAATTGGAAACCATCTTTTTTGCATGTAAAAAGAGTATATACTTTTTGAATGATTCATATTCATTTTATGTATAAAAACCTTTTGATTCAAGTTTTGAGCCATTTAGTGTCACTGTTTTAATTACACATTTGCCAAACTGTGTGATCCACAATCAGAGGCAGTCCTCAGCGTATGATTGGGTGGGGGGCATACCCGCTACCGGCTCCATATAAATTTGTATAAAGAATGTACTGGCGCATGGGTTGGATGACCTCCCCACCAATTTTTTTTTTTTTTAAATCTACTCTCCCCCCTCATTCACATACACATGATTATATTTTCTTATTTGTTTGTATATTATTGATACATGATGAGAATATTGTTAACTCTATAGGGTTTGATTTTTCTTCCTACTGACTCCTAGAAACAGAAAGTGTGATGGAATTGCAGATTGTACATTAGTTATGGACATCGAATGATGGTGCAACTAGAATTTTCCTAGGATCATTTTTACTGATGTTCATTGTACAGATTTACTCACGTTTTTTACTTGTTCAATATCATAAAATGAATAACTGATTCTTGTGTATAAGTTACATATGAAATTACAGCTAATTTGGTTCATATAAAACTTTATTTTTTATTTTTTTATTTTAAGTACAAACAATAGAAACTTCAGAGAATGGAGAATCATCACTTCAGATAATAGAAATCTCATTTACCTATGCTTATGCATACCTGCGATTCAAATGTATTCTCTCTCAAAAAAATTATTGTAAATTGCACATCAACATGCATGGGTGTTGCTCTGGGGATAATGAGGCTGTCACTATCTGAGTTGACGGGGAAGTCATCTGAAAAATCATTTTCCAAATCCATGTGTATGTGAAGCCGTGGCCAGAGAGCTTGAAGCTACTACTGTAGCACAAGCAGTCATTGTTCACTGAGTCGATGCACGTGATTTGAGTGAAGAGCCATGTGTCCAAACTGGCTTGGGTGGATTTGATTTGTTAGTGATATTGACAAAAGACAACTTTAACAAATTTCACATTTATTAAAAAATGATAGTTATATCTTTGAAATTAAAAATATCTAGCTTTTTAATTTGATCCTCCTTTGCAATTAAAGACTATAATAATTAATTTTTTGTCCATGGATTTGAACGATAATAAATAAATAAAAGGTGAAATTAAAAAAGTATTAATCATTCTAACTTTAGTTTATATTAAAAATTAAAAAAAAGCTTTCAAAATTTACGTATATATATCTTCTTCTTGTTTTTTTTTTCCGGTGGTACCTTGCAGGTGTCCATTTCGTTTTCTATGAGAAGTGACTTCTATGGTCGACGTTACATATAGGAACCAGGAAACCAAAAAAAAAAAAGATGACCTTATATGGTGGGAAAATATCAGTGGCCGAAGCTCAATCCCTGTCACCTTTAGATGGCTTATTGCCTTGTGTTTTGCTTGTGGGAAATGTCAAATGTTTTTGTGTAATAGGCTCTCGTGTATGCCTTCATCACTTTTATTCCTGAGTGTGCCAAGTCCATAAATATAACAACACCAGTCACTTTTTTGTTAATAAAAAGAATCTCAAAGTATAGACAAAACAGGATTGCGTAACTTAAAAATCAACAAAAATAAAAAAGTTACAAGAACCATCTTCATGATAACCTATGATTAGAAAGTAAAAAGAAAACAAATTTTTATATCTCATTGTAACATCCCCATATGTGAGCTTATAAGCACAGTGCATGGCTGCATGCAAATGAGCGCAGTGCACACACTGCTTTCGAGTTTTCGGACATTCTATCCTTCTTCTCGAGTTATGCTTTATCCGTCTGTGTCTTGCTTGCTATTCTGCTCCCTGTTTTGCAAAAAAATTAAAGGCTTGTTTGATCCTAAAGGATTGTCACATTTAACTGCTTCTGGACGGAATAACTCAAGGATAATGTTATTAAGCACAGCTCAATTAGAATTCTCATTGCTGCTGTCAACATATCTCTCTCTCTTCTTCTTCTTCTTCTTTGTGTGGCAAACAGGAAGGGTCCATTTCATTTTCGATAAAAGCGACTTCTATGGTGGGCAGCAAGCAAAATATATGACCTTTTCTAGTGGGAAAATATCATTGGCGAAAGCTCGCTGTCACCTTTAGTTTCTTGCCTTGTGTTTTGCTTCATGAAATCTTAGCGTCTATTAGACAGTCCCACATTTTATTCTTGAGTGTGCGGAGTCTGCTCCACACAAGTAACAACACGATCACTTGAAAAACAAAAATCTAAAAAATAAACAAAACAGGGATAATATATAGAAAACTATGAAATTACGAGCGTTCACGGACTAGGATATATATATAATATATATATATTTTGGCTGCGAGGGCAACGTGTCAACATAGACACATCTATAAATTCGTAACATTAAAATTTAACATGCATTTTACTATAGTAACAGCTGTATAAATATATACATAATAAAACTTTTTTTTTTACTATTTCTCATATTTTAGTAATATTGAATATTTTTTACATTGCTATATATACAAAAAAAGTTCCCTTGCCAGTGGCCTTGTGCCACAAGTGGCACCACTCCCAACCTGCAGTATACAAGGCATGGGTTCGAGCTCAAATTGGCTGTGTGTGTGTGTGAGTTTCCTTCCATGGGGAAGGAGTTGGCAAAAAAAAAAAAAAAGTTCCCTCTTCAGGTAGGTAACTAAACAGACATTCAATAATTTATCTCCCATGTGATTTCTCATTCTATTCTTGATAATGTTCATAGAAGATAAATATCTTTCAACTATTGCAGTCAATACTAGTAGTATAAAAGCAGGTACACTAATGGATATACAATATGGCTCTTACAATTAATTTAAGTTATGAAATTAATGCACTGACAAACTAGCTAGAAGGCGAAAGGTGAGGGCATGCAACTTGAAGGAAAGAGAAGGGTTTGATCGAATTCGGATCCAACGTGTGACAAATGAGCCCCATCCCGTCTTGTGAGGGCAAGAAGGAGTCCAAGAGTAGAGGACCAGGAGAGACTCTTGCCCTATCCAATCTATCTCGCATTATCACTAGCAAGTGACACGCACGGTTCAAAGATACGTGCATTCCAATTTTGTGTGTCATGCTTTTTATCTCAATAGTCAATGCATTTTCAGCCTTCTTTTGCTTCCTTCTCCTTCAACGAAAATATAGAATTTAATTTGAATTAAAGTTGAGTATCGACTTACGGTACAAAGTATGACTTATATGAGTGGATTGAGATGTTTTTTCTTATTTGTTCTCCAGAGTTTTTTTTTTAATGAACGACGCTAATTAATAAGTTAAAATTATTAAAAATATGTTTATTCCGTATACATTATGAAAAACAAACAAATTTTAAAAAATTATCCAATCTTGATACCACACTTGAATGAACTGAACCAAACCGATTACTAGATGCTTAGGCGAACCAATTGGTTTGATTCTATTTGTTTTTGTCCAAATTCAAACCAATTGAAACTGTGAACTTCCCTATTGATGACTCCCAAAAGCTCTTGTTGATAGTCTTCTGGCAACTCGATGTGCTCCCCCAAACGCAACAAAGTATAGGAGTTAACTTCACTTGTTCTGGAAAAGTAAAAAGAAAAGAAAAGAAAGAGTTTGAAACGAATATCAAATATTCACTTCTAAATATAAAATAATATTTAATATGAGAAATTTTTATATAAACCCTTTGTACCATGTAATTCATACTCTACTGAATAAAAACATTCAACGTTAGATAGCTGTGAATATAAGTTAATTTTGTCATTGGTGATGATAAAGAGGGAAAAGATAAAATATTGAAGAGGCACTATATTAATATTCCAAAAATAAAGTCATTAGAAATGACGATACATAAGATTTTATTTAACTAAATTGGCACAATTTTATTATATAGAATATGAACGACGTGTTGCATCGGCTCCATATACAGTATTCTTTCAACTTGATATCTATACCGTACATGCTAGTCTTCATATTTTCAATTAACCATATATTTAAAAAATCCCATATCAATTATTATAAAAATTATATATTAAGTTAGTTTAAATGCCAGATATATATTTTATTAAATTTTAAATCCCATATAATACATGAAAACTGTTTTTTTTTTCCTATGTGGACAGGCAAAAACAAATTTAAGGGGTTCTTGTCATATTATAAAGCTTTCTCTTGTAAACATGCCTATTTTTATTTATAAAAAAAAACGTTGAAATCAATCTTAGCACCCATTTTTAGATAAATTTTTATTTTTAACCCCCACATGATGGCTTGGCTTCATGATTTATTCATGTGCATAGGTAAGAATTAAGTTCTAGACATTATCAATTATCAATATCTGTAAATACTTGTGTTCTTCCAATAATTAATGCCAGGGGAAATTTTTGAAATCAGGTTAATTTTTTTTACTAAGTTCAACCTCCTGTAATTAATTGAAGAAGAAAATTTGCCCTCCGAAAAATATTATTATCCATCATCGTTTGTTATGTACTTCTCTTGTTAAAAAATATAAATTATTTTTAATTAAATCTCATTAATTTTTTAATAAAATTAATGAACTAATATTATCTTTCTATATTTGCCTCTATTTAATTTAGTGTTTTACTTAAAAATAAATATAAAATAATCTATTTCTTAACACATTTTTTAAAAAATGCATTAATTACACCTTAAAGTACCTTTTATTTTTAATATTAAACTCTTCAAAAAAAATGCTTCACATTTTTCTTATTGCAGGAGTATAAATTAAATTTAAAATTTATGTATTATTTGTAAATAAATTAAACTTTAAATTTGTTTTATTTTATAATTTGTAATCTATGCACAAGTTGATTATTGAAAATATAAATAAGATATCCGTACATACTAAAAAACTATTTATAATTTTTCCCAGTATATATTAAAAATAACGAATTATTATTTTCAGATTATTCCCTTATAAATTAAAATTTAAACAATAAAATATTCTATTTTATTATTTTTTATTTAAATTCATATTTTATTTTGTAATTTATTATTTTTTTCACATGGTAATTTATCATCTTATACATATACAAATGAAGGTAATAAATAATGACTCATAACCTATTGTTTGTTAAACGAACTTGATATCGACTATTATTTCATCTTTATCATGGGTCCATACTTATTTTGTCATTATAGGTCCCACGTAATCTTTGAACACACAATTTTTTTTTAAAAAAAAAAGGTAAAAAGTTGTGAGTGAGGATGTAAAACTTGTACAAGAAAGGAGGGACTTTATTTATTTTGCAAACTCTAAAAAGAATATGCACACTTTTCTTCTTGACTTTTCAACATGCCCTCAACACTCTCTCCTTGTCACGTCACTCACTCTCGTTTCTTCTCGTCTGCACACTTCACTCTTGCTTCACTTTTTACTCAGTCTTCGATTTCTCTCGCGCCCACTCTTCGCTCTGCTCTTCCTCTCCTCTTTGCTGCACACTCACACACAACTCCAAAGCTACCTATTTATACGTGTAACATGTCGATCATTCATCCTTCTAGGTCCTTCTTTCACCGCCATTAGCTTACTTCAGCCAAACTTATCTCTAGATATTTCTTGTTTTGTTTTATTACTTCGCCGCCTTGCTTATTTCTCCATAATTCTACAATCATCCCCATGTTAATTAATCAACAACTTAAAGTTTATATATATTATTTACATTTTCATGATTAAATAATATGACAGACATATAATTTAATTTCACTTTGTTGACTTTTTTATTTATATATTTATATATATATATATATATATTATATAATGATATGTAATTTATTATTCTTTAGTTTTTTTTAAGTTATAAAATCATATAAAAAGTTAATTATTATAACCATTAATAAATACATAAATAAATTTATTGGCGCTGGTTTCTCTCCTTGCTGCGCTTATAAAATACGCCTTCATTCTGGACTCCACCGGCTTATACAAACCAAGCTTCTCCACCTCGATTGGTAATGTATTCATAAGTTTTAGTTCATAAAATATTCAAGTCCTGGCCATTTGGGTTTGCACAAGTCTAGATATTATTCACTTTGCCTATCGTATACGCGGAATAATAAAAGAGGATTGTGATGAAATATATATGATTTGATTTTATTGCGTTTTATATTACTAGGATTTGAATCTGAATTTAAATTATTATTACTATTTTAAAGTTTATAAAATTCTATAAATAGAGTTAGTTAGGATTCTCAATTGTATTTAGATTTTTTTTATATAAAAAAAAGTTTAGGTAAATTGGGTTCAAAAGTTCATCATGATCAGAGCAAACCTTCAAATTCAAAGAATACCGATATACTTTTAGATTATCCATAAACAATAATACTTAGATTTTGATAATCGTTGAATGAAGAGTTCATACTTTCCTGATCTCCTCTCTCTCTCTCTCTCTCATCTCTCTTCTCTTTCCCCTTTCTACTTTCACGTCAATTGGATTCTGATAAATCTTACATAAAGATTCAATCGCTATCCATTTCTCAACAAGGCACGAAACACTTAAATTAACCTTGGATTATTTAAAACATGAATTAAAGTGAAATACAACAATACCATAATAATTTAAATTAATTATAGTCTCTAATTATTTGGCCCCATTCTTGGACTATTCTGCTGACAATAAACCTGCGAACTAACTAATCAAAAAGGTAAACCTCCTTTGGCAACCTTGGGTGTGTTATGGCCACAAGTGGCTTAGCAAGTAAGAGATCAGTCTGAGACTCAACAAGCTCAATCGGTTGATGACGTGACGCACTCCAAGTGAAGCCATGGAGCAACCTAGCAAGCATCATCACAGTGATAGTAGTCCCAAGCACCACTCCCGGACATGCACGCTTTCCTGTAGTGAAGCTTATGAACCTTAAATCTGGCTCAGTTAAAAACACATCAGACATGTTGTCCACGAGGTGTCGTTCTGGTTTGAACTTGAGAGGGTCATCCTTCCACACATTAGGGTTTCGCCCTAACTCTTGTCTGCTAAGTAACACGTGGCTGCCCTTTGGGATGAGGTAGTTGGAAACCACTGCGTCACACATGGCGACATGTGGGACGTTGAAAGGGGAAATAGGATGAAGGCGAAAGGCTTCTCTCAAGCAAGCTTTGATATAGTTGAGTTTCGGGATGTCTGATTCCTGAACAAGCCTGTGTTTGCCTACCACTTGGTCGAGTTCTTGGGTGGCTTTTTCGAGAAGCTCTGGTTGGTTTATCATTTCTGCGAGTGCCCACTCTACTGCATTTGATGGGTTGTCCACCGTTGCCATCATCATTTCCTGTGAAATGTTTTGGTTTAATCAGTCCTTGCAAATGATTAACGATATTTTCTGAACTCAGCTATTTTTTAATCCATACATAGGCAACTTAATATTTATTTTGGTTAAGCAAATAGTTCAGCTTCCGCTGAGGGGTGTGTTATTGGTAAGAAAACAATATCCAAATAATTTATTTCTCTTTATATTGCATGTGTGTTGTAAAGAACTAGAGTATTTTTGAAAAAAAAAAAAGACTCCTGAAGATAATTTTAACTCTGGCCCATTGATAATAAAATAATAAAAAATTAGTTTCTGGCTTGATTACCACCCTTATCTTTTGCGACTGTATAGAAATGGTAAAATAACAAGACGAAATAGGAGGTATCCTTGGGTTAATTCAGTCTAATCAAGTATGAACATCTAAAATATTTTGGGAGTAAAGAGGGACCAGGTAAAAAATGAACGAGTCTTCCCTTTGATTGGAACATATGTTGGGCCAAATCTCATTGCCATAACCCATATGTGGTATTCTTGCCTTATGCGTTTTCACGTTTCAAATGTATAAAATGTTCAAGCAAACAATATGAGCTGTTCCAAAAAAGTGACGAGGTGGGGTCGATTATTATATCGTTTTCCATAAAATGGGACTTCTACGATCCGCTTTAAATCAATTAATCAAAGGGATAGCCAAATAGGAACCATGAAAAATGAACAACCCTTTGGAACACATCATCAGATGACAAATGTTCAGCATGAATGTAGAAGTAATAGACAAATCATTATTGAGTAGACTGTCCTTCACTTCATTATATTCATCAGTTTGCTAATTAAGTCCTTATATAAAAGCATGCACACATAATCACATAAAAAACAAACACACAGAAAGAATAGAAAAATAATTATCAAGACCAGGGCTTTGATTTCCTGTGCCTTCAATAAGGAGTTATTATTGACATCTTTGAGTGAAATCATGACATCAATCAAATCCTCAGTTTCAGTCTTGATGCCATCCTTCCACTGCTTGATTCTTGCTTCAATGATGGGGTCGTGATACTTGTTCACTTTCGCCAAAGCATTCTTCACCATTTTGTCATGCCCATCCAATTCAAGTCCTCTCAAACTTGGCACAAAGTCGGACATAGAGAACGCGAACAAGTAATTGAGCAATTTGAATAACGCATCCACATGCTCTACTTCCTCGGGACCAGGCCCTCCGTTCCCACCACCATTTCCCAAGTACCTATTTAATTTACAAACGCATATATAATAGGTCACTTACGAGTCATTAATTATCGTATGAAATATACGACGTCGACCTTCCTTACTACATCGCATCATATAGTCATGATTACAAACTATTCAGCATGTCACCTTTTATTGAAGATTATTTTTCTAATCACGTTCCCGCAGAAATGCTGAGCAGTTAGCCTCACATTCACAGAACCACCTCCATGATCATTCTTACGCTCAGTGGATTGGCTGTAGACGTAATGCATGAGGCTATCAGCTTCCTCCATTCTTTTCTCGTGAAGCCATCGATGCTTCGTCGAAGAAAGCAAGTCCCTGCTTATCAGCTTCTTCATCTTCTTCCATTGGTCTCCGTACGGCCCGAGTGCCGCCGTTAAATAACCTGCTGAGATGAGATCAGAGGACATGCTAAGAGGTCTTGATGCGAAAACATCATCTTGTTTCTTCAAGAACTCGCAAGCAATAGCGGGGCTGGTCACTGGGATCACGTGGACACTTCCAAATTTAAAACATGCAATCTCAGGTTCGCTGTCCTAGGCCGTACGCGAGGATCAGATTCAGACGTGCACTATTTGCCAACCTCACATCCCTCGAGTAAATTGTTTTTTATTTTCAATAACGAAGCAAAAACTTACAAATTAAAAAAGAAGAAGAAGAAGAAGAACAAAGAAAGACAGAATTGATCAACATTCCTGAGATCTTATCTAAGGTCATTGTAGTGCATGATAACTAAACATTCGGAAGGTAATTCTATAATAATGCACTGTCAATGATCTGAAGATAAAGTATTAGATGTTTGATTCTCTAAACATGCACTCATAAAAAACCCACCAATCATGCATGGGCAATTTTTTTTAATAGGGTTAACATATAATTTGAATTTTAAATTTTTAAAAGGTCTATTTTCTATTATAAACAATTAAAGTTAGGACAATTTACTTCACCGTTAAATTTAAACAAATTAACGTTTGTAAAAATAATGCCTAATATGTGATTTCACTAAAAGAGGGTAAGAGAGAAAGGGAGTGTGGAATTTAGTAAAAATTGAACATTTAATTTTAATTTTTAAAAAACTAATGGACGTTTGTTAAAATTAAATGATGAGATAAAATTATCCAACTTTAATTATTTAGAGTTTAAAATATACCTTTTAAAAGTTTAAGATTCAAATCATTCTTAAATCTATCATTCAAAGTTTAAATTATACATTAACCTTTTTAAATATTGCTTGCAACTCCAAAGATTGGGGAAGACCTACCTGAATTTTTTTAGTATTCTCTAAAATTTTATAGAATCAAGAAACAAATTAACTTTTTTGAAGCCTCATGGGAACACCAATTGTGAACACTGTATTTTATTTAAATATTTTTTAAAAATTTAATAAAAATAATAATAAATAAATAATATAAAATACAAAAATAAAATTTAATCATTTTTAGAATTATGTTTTAAAAAAACAATAACAATAATCTAACAAAAAAAATAATAATCTTGCTTAAATCTTTAAAAATTTCTCTCAAATTATCTCAATATCCAAAGATATTGAGAATCAACTTTTAAGACCCAACTATTTTTCTCTCCTTGAATTTTGTTAAAAAAATAAAAATAATAAATAATAAAATATGTAAATATATGTATATTCTTAATCTGATTTCAAACAAAAAAAAGGGGCTGTGCCACAGCCAAAATCATTTTCTTTCGGCGGTCAAACACTAGGGAGGACAGTCACACACACAGAAACAACGCAGAAGAAGCACGTATGACAGAATAGAAGAAAAGAAACAGAGATAGCAAGATTAGAGGCGAGATGTGACAGAAGCAGAAACGCAGTACTCACATGCAAAGGAAAGAGAGTCAGATGCAGAGAGAAAAGGAAGCACACACGCAAAACCAGAGGAGGCAGAAACAGAGCAGAGAGCAGACGATGAAGGTGAATCATGCACGCGAGTGAAGAAGGAAAGCACACGCACACAAAAAATGCAGCGGAAGAGAAGAGAGAAGGAAGAAGCAGAGTAGGTGAGTAATCATTCACCCCTTCCATTCTCTATATAAGGCTGACGGGGATGAGACGAGAGGGAGGACCGAAGGAAGTAAAACAGAGGCTGAGAGAGGAAGAGACTGAGACGAAAATAGAGAGCGCCAAGACTGAGACGAGAAGAGAGAAAACCAGAGCAGTAGACCGAGGAGAAGAGCTCGAAAACGATAGAAAAGAAAACGAGAACTAGAGGAGAGATATCTGGAAGGAGAGGTGAGAACAGAGAACGGACGAGCAAAAAAAAAAAAAAAGAAGGCAAGAGGAAGGAAGAGCACGAGAACCAGAGACAGAGAAAAGAGAATAGAAAACAGAGCATAAAAGACGAGAAGAAGATAGAAAGAAAGTGACGTAGAGAAGAGAGTGTCTGGAGAGGGGAAGGAAGAGACCGAGGGATGAGTTTTTCCTGGAAAAAAAAAACAGAGACAGAGGAGACTGATCAGAGGGAGTTTTCTGACAGAAAAAAAAAAAAAAAAACAGACGAGGAGAAGAAGATAGAAAGAAAGAGATGAAGAAAAAAAACTGATTAAAAAAATTATTGATGAGTATCAGTATTGCATATAATGTCGATGGAAATATGTGAAGATATAGATATCATATATTGTATGAAATTTAAAATGATTTTGGGTTGTAAATAGTATTGTTACAGTAGTTTATAATTTATGAAACAAGCGCTTCGCTTTCAATATTAATAAGATGGATAGTGGTGGGGTTGCTTTGAAGCAAGGCGTGGGATAAAGACCTGCAATTCGGGGAGTCTTGGGCGGCACTGGTAAATAAAGTTTGACAAAGATTTAAAATTTAAAATTTAAGATGAAGATTAAAATTTTTATTAATGTAAATCTAAATTTTCCTTCTCATCATCTAAAAATAAAATATTAAATTCCTCAAATGTAGATTCACTTGTTGAAAATAGAGGTAGAGATTCAATATTAATTATCTCTACAATTTTTTTTCATTACCTATAATAAATATTAATTAAAATATGTTATCATCAATCAAATATGTGTGTGTATAAAATAACTAGGTTTGAAGGGCTACCAGAACCCGAGACTTTTTTCACAAGAATTGGACCCTCGAGCCTGATTATTTTAAAAATTTTAATTTTTAAAATTTGAATCCTTATTTAAAAAAGACCTCTAGGCTTGACCCTTATTTTCAGCTCTAACTAGAAATTTCAAATAGATCAAACTTAAGAGGTTGAATTGTAATAAGTTAAATTTAAAAAATTAGTAATCTATAATCAAATTAAAAATTGAAAGATTAAGGGTTTGTTTGGCTATTGCTCTGATGTTTTTGTTTTCAAAAGTTGTTTTATAAAAAAATTTTAAAAATTGTTTTTGAGAACAAATAAAAAAAACTTGTTTGGTAGTAATAATCCAAAAACAGTTTAGAATTAAAAAAATAAAAAAACTTGCTTGGCAAAATTAATATTAAAAATAAATTCTAAAATTAAAATATAATAAAACTCATTTGATAAAAATTGTTTTGGTTGTTATTTTGCCTGACAGAATTAGTCTAGTATGTTGCTGCCAATAAAGTATAATTTTTTTTAGAATTTCCCCAACAATTTATAAAATGAGTAATATTTATAAGAACATAAAAATTTATATAACTAAAATTATTTGTTTAATATTCTAATTAAACCAAGACAGACATGTAATTATTTAATATTATTAGCATATGAAAATGTATTTATTTTAATTTATTTAGACAAAAATATGTTAAGTATATAAAGTTATGTACGTAAGTTTGCTTCTATATATGCGTGCACGTGCGCGTATGTAATAAAACATTAACAAAAGAAGAAACATCTTTGAGAAAATGAGAAATTTGTATTGTAATAAAATGAGATATTTTAATAAATACTAAAATAATTTATAATTATTACAATAAATGAGGTAGAGACATAGTTAAGCAGAATAGGATAGAATCAAATAAAAATCATAAACCAATCATTTTGTATAAATAAAAGAAAGCCTTGACATAAGCCTAAACATAGGGAGATTGAATGAAAGAAATCAAAGAGCACAGCAGCATGAGGTTGAGAAAACAAAAATGTTTGAACCAGTGACCACTAAAACCATTCTCCTAACAGCGTGGAAATAGAAACAGCATTTTTTGTTTCTCGCTTTTACTTAGTAAAAGTAAAAAAATAAGAATAGCAACAGCTAAAAATTGTTTTAATTTTCTTGTATTTAAAAACAAAAAATTAAAAACTGTTTTCAAAACAAAAATTAAAAATCATTTGCCAAACAAATTTTTTTATTTTAAAAATATTAAAATAAAAAACCTGTTTTTAAGAATAGAACACAAACAGACTCGAAATGATTAATTTTCACATTTATTAACTTATATTTTCTTATATGTCAGTGCATTACTATCCAATCTATGGACAGCATCTGTATTTTATTTTATTTTTAATCAACAGCATCTGTACGCCTTTATCCCATGTCGCTCTGTTTTGTGATAACATTATTGTACGAGACAATAATAATAATAACATTTAACAACGTTGAAGTTAACGCCTGAAACTAGACCCTAGCGATTTCTTTTAATTTGTGTGTTTAGAAGAGAGCGTGATCCCTTGGCGAAATAATGTGCGGTGAAGTAAACAGACAGATGGACACATGAGAAATGCACGGTGCTCCATCAGCGGGTCCCATCAAAATGAAATGTCAAATGTCAACAGAGCCCTTTCTTCTTTCTATTTGTGTGGTTTCACTATTCCTTTCCCTCATTCCCTCTTTTTTCCACTTCAAAACTATAAAAATCTTTTTCTATCATATCTTGTTAAAGATTGAAAGTAATGTATTTATATAAATTTTTATATATTCAAATGAGTAATTTAATTAAAATTATTATTAGGTAACATTTGGATGGGTAAATTTAAATTTAAAATTTAAAATCTTACATTTTAAATTCTTTATTTCAATAGTTTAAAAAAAATTAAATAAAAAAATAGATGAATTAAAATTCAAAATGAAAATTTGGGAGTAGTAAATTTACCTCTTTTTTTAACTGAACAATAAATGATAATTCCTCTTTTGTCAACATGATGCAGGTAACATTATCGTACAAAAATAAGAGTGATAACATGTAACACGTTAAAGCCAACACAAGAAACTAGCTCTAGTGATTTCTTTTAATTTTCTTGCTCAGAAGAGAGCATGATTATACGGTGAAAGAAAGTGTGGTGAACTAGGCAGAGAGACAGGCACATGCACGAGAAATGCATGGTGCTACGTTAGTGGGTCCCATCTAAATGAAATGTCAAACATAAAAGAGGGACCTTTCTTCTTTGTTCTTTCTATTTGTATGATTTTACGGTTCATTCTTCTCTCTCTCAACCTTTTGAAACTATACATCTTAATTTAAAAATATAAAATATTTTTAATGAAATTTCAATCTCAATAAAATTATTATCTACTTTTAAATTAATTTTATTTTTATATTTATTTTTATTAAATATCTTACAATAAATATAAAATTATTATTAATAGAGTTACTTTTTAAAAAAGACAATGATTATACCTTTAAAAATTAAAAATGCCTTATATTTTTTAACATCTAACTTCTCAAAAAATATCTTACATTTTTAAATGGAGGGAGTAAAAATATTTTTCTTTTATATCATGTTACAAAATTGGAAGTAATGGATTTCTATAAATTTTTATATATTCAAAATTTAAATCCTTATCAATCCAAATATAATATTAGGTGACGTTTGGATATGTAAGTTCAAATTTAAAGTTTAAAATCTTATATTTATTTTGGTGGTTTAAAAAATTTAAATAAAAAATAGAGATGAATTAAAATTCAAAATAAATCATAAATTTGACGTGATGAATTGAACTCTATTCTTTTAATCAATGAGAAACAATAATTAGATATAAAAAGGATACTAGAGCCATAGATTTTTAAATGATTGTGGTGTAAGAAAAATTTAAAATTACAATAAATTATAATAAGAAATGGATTTGATATAAGTTTTTGTAAATCCAAATGATGAGAGATTTTTTTTGAATTTGAATCCGAATCCAAATTCTCATTAACTCAAGCACACCATTAATTCTCATACTTTTATTTTTAAAAAATAGAAGAACAAATGTTTTAGATGGTTTCAATTATATGAATCGAATTGCACTAATTTAAAGTTTAAAAACTAAGTTTGAGTTGAGTCAGAATTACATAGATTAAGTTGCATCAAGTTTTTAAAGTTTTCATTGAGATTTAATTCATGAATTAAAACCAAGGTTTATTACAAATTTTTTTTGCCATCAATAGTTTTCAGCAGCCACCTTTCGTGGCTCCAATGCCATGAAAGTCATGTTAGTATACCTTGTCACGTGTCACCCCTTCACGTGGGGCACCATGTCACTAAGACGTGTCATCCCCACCTCATGACTCGTGTCAACATGTCACCAACATATATGTTCATTTTACAAATTGCTTTTTCCATGGTTCAAATTTATAACCACTATCATTTATATCCTGTCATTTTGAATCTATAATTTATTATTGTATAATTAAATATATATTATTAAATTAAACAAACAGATAACATCTGTTATATAATTCAATTACACACATGTCTTGGATATTAAATATTATAAAATATTATTGACACAATATAGAGTTACTATTGATTGTCATTATTTTGGAGGGTGGTGGTTTCTAAAAATCAAGCTTTTAGTGGGGACAATCAAAGTTTTCACAGAAAGTCAAACTTTTAACAGCAATTTTTATATTCACCATAGGTTGTTTACTTTCAGTCACCTTTAAAAGTTTTTTTTTGTAGTAATTGTCAAACTCGTGAGTTTAAGTAAATTTACAAAAAAGATGTAAAATTGAATTATAAACTTTGATTGTAAACTCCTAAAAATTTATCTCTATTAATAAATAATCATTAAAAGTATATAATTAAATAAATAAAATGCAAAATATGATCATAATTTGACTTAACTATATTTTCAATATAAATCATTGAAATTAAATCCATCTACATTGATATACTCAACATAAAATTTTAAAAAATAGGGCAACTTATTTTTGAAATTTTTTATTTTTTATTAATATTAGTTTTTGTTTTTAATTTTGAGTTTTATTTTTCTTTGAACTAGGTTCTCCTACTTTTATGAACTGAGTTCAATAAAATATATACTAAATTTTCTCAACTTAGTAATAAAAAATTGACGAGTTTAGCGAGTTTAAGTGAATTTATATCTATTCTCAGTTTATAAATGAGTTAATATAATTTTATAATCTAAAAAAAATAAAAATGATAAACTTTAAAGAATCAACTTCACAACAATGGTTATAACTACAGTGATCATATAATTAATTCTACTTTCTCATATAAATCTTAAAAATACATTCGCACCCAAATATAAAGCAAAATCCCATAATAATCATGCATTAATACTAATAATCCCCAATTATTTGGCCTTATTAGCGGACTGTTCTCCTGATTATTTGCTGGCTAATATATTAATTATTATAATACATCCTTGCTAAATTAATCCAAGAGGTAAACCTCTTTGGGCAACCTCGGTTTTGCGATGGCCACAAGCGGTCGAGCCATAAAGGGATCGTTCTCGGACTGAAGCAATTCAACTGGTTGGTGAGGTGATGCCTTCCAAGTGAAGCCATGGATCAACCTGGCCAGCAACATCACCGTAAGAGTGGTTCCAAGGACCACTCCTGGACATGCACGCTTTCCCGTGGTGAAGGTTATGAACCCTAAATCTGTCTCCGTCAAGAACACATCGGATCCATCGTCCATGACGTGCCGTTCTGGTTTGAACTTGAGAGGGTCCTTCCACACCTTAGGGTTTCGCCCTAACTCTTGTCTGCTAAGTAACACGTGGCTGCCCTTTGGGATGAAGTAGTTGGAAACGACTGTGTCACGCATGGAGACGTGTGGGACGTTGAAGGGAGCCATGGGATGAAGCCGAAAGGCTTCTCTTAAGCAGGCTTTGATGTAGTTCAGTTTTGGTATGTCTGATTCTTGAACAAGCCTGTCTCTTCCAACCACTCGGTCAAGTTCTTCAGTGGCTTTCTGAAGAATCTCTGGCTGGTTCATCATTTCTGCGAGTGCCCATTCTACTGCGTTCGATGGGTTGTCCACGGTTGCAAACATCAGTTCCTGCAAATATATATAAATTATAGATCAATGTACCAGTCTTAATATATAATATTTGATACTGAATACATTTCAAAGAGCATTATCGATGAGCAGAGACGAGAGAAATAACTGGAATTTGCGCTTTGATTTCCTGCGTCGTCAACAGGGGCCTGTCATCAGCATCCTTGAGAGTGATCATGACATCGAGCAAGTCCTCGGTTCCAGTCCTGGTTCCGTCCTTCCACTGTTTGACTCTTGCTTCAATGATAGGATCGTGATACTTGTTCACTGTTCTTTCAGCATTCTTCAACAGTCTCTCGTGCCCATCCAAGTCGAATCCCCTCAAGCAGGGAATGAAGTCGGAAACACAGAAGGCGTACAAGTATTTGAGCATTGTGAAGAGTGCACTCACATGCTCTATTTCCTCCAACCCTGGCCCCCCATCCTCTCTGCCCTCTCCGAAGTACCTGTTAGGAAAATATAAAACAAAAATTATTAACTGCCCGTTTAGATTTGCGTTGGAAGTCTAGATTTTAAATAATTGTGTTTTTAAAGTGATTTTTCTGTTGACGATTAGGGATTTTATTTTCAAGTGATCATGATTAGTCGTTATATATATTTTTATTTGAAAATTTATTTTTCTAAACAACTGTTTTGAAAGAATTGAAAATGTTTGTGTATAAAAAAAAGACATGAAAATGTTTATGTATAAAAAAAAGAGAGAATTGAAAATGTTTGTGTTATAAAAAAAGCAAGAATTGAAGATGTTTGATATCATTTATTAAAATTATTTTTAAATGTTTAAGCCTTGTTGAACCAGTAAACTAATAATCTAGTATTTTAACCTGTTTAATAACATGATTTATTTATAATTGATTTGATCATGGTTTGACAGTGTGATTTTGATCATCAACACTTAAATTAATGCCAATACTTTACTGGGCCACTTGTATTAAGAGTGAAGTTATTCAATATTAAATTGTCAATATATTTCTATACTAATACTCCTTCCATTCAAAAATATAAAATATTTTTAATTGAATTTAACCCTCAATAAAATAGTTATCTATTTTTCAACTAACCTTATCTTTTCATATTTATCCCTATTAAACACCCTATAATAAATATAAAGTCACTATCAAGAGGGACACTTTTAGAAAAAGACAATGATTACACCTCAAAAAACTAAAAATACTTTATATTTTTTAATATATAACTCCTTAAAAAATGTCTCACATTTTTGAATCGAGGGAATATATATGTGGTATATAAACAACTTAATTTGTTATTATATGATGTTTCACAATAAAAATAATTTCAAAGTGTAAATTGATATACATATAAACTATTTCCTTCATTAATTGCATGCATTAAAACGCATACAAGTCTTTGTAGCTTGTTTTAGGAAGTATTTATTTATTTATTTTTTTAACTGCTACGAGGAACCTTATGAAATATGGCGCTCCTGAGTGTTGCAAACTAGTGAATGTTACCTTTTATTGAAGATGATTTTCCTAATCACATTCCCGCAGTAGTGCTGAGCAGCAATCCTGACATTCACAAGACCTCCTTCATTGTTATTCTGACTCGTATAGACGTAGCGCACGAGGTTGTCAGCTTCCTCCATCCTTTTGCCATGGAGCCACCTGTGCTTCGACGAAGAAAGCAGGTCCCTGGCAATCATCTTCTTCATCTTCTTCCATTGCTCTCCGTACGGCACGAGAATCGTCGTTAAATAGCCACCCGAGAGGAGACGAGACGACATGCTGATAGGCCTCGACGCGAAAACATCATCTTGTTTCTTCAAGAACTCGCAAGCTATGGTAGGGTTAATCACCGGAATCACATGAACGTTTCCCAACTTGATGCATGCAATCTCAGTGTTCATGTTTTTCATAAGCTCATGTATCCATTTGGGCGCAGACTTGCTGGAAAGCATTTCGGGTAGATTACCAATAATAGGCCAGGGTTTGGGACCCGGAGGGAGTTTGTTTCTGCGGAGCAGTGAACGGGTAGAGCGAGGGTGTTCTAGGGTTTTGATGAGACCGAAGAGAGAGATTATGAAGATCATGGAATAGGACCAAAATGGTGAAATGAAGGAGAAGATCAAAGCAGTGGAAGACTCCATGGCTTGGAAGATTAAACTTGGTAATGTTTGGGTTGATGCTTGTCCTCTCTCCAGCTCGCCTCTATTTATATTAGTTTCCAGTGGAATTCAATTTTTTTATTTTCTTTTTTTAATTATATAAAATATTATTTCATCAGGGGTAACCTTGTTTGAAGTGTATTAATTAAATAAAATTATATTAATTAAATATAGACACTTTTCTGCAATAGTAAGTGAATATGTGTGTGTGTGTGTGTGTGTGTGCATGCATGCATGCATGTTTGGAGGAGATATAACACAAATTTGCAATACGTATGACAAGAAGATATGCAATGGAAGGGGACTCCGTCCTGGTCATTTCCTATCCCCACCGACGATGCGGATGGGACCCACCATTTTATTTTATTTTTAAATGGTGGGTCCCACCCCAATGACGGAGAGTCTTGGTCCTATATGTAAGTAGTGGCTGAGCCTGAGCCACGTCTGAATATAGTTTTTTACTTAGTTCTTGGAATGAGCAGGCCAAGAGTGGATGTCAAATTCCACACATTTTACTCAAGGTTCCCCACACAAAAAAAAGGTTCGGCCAATCCCGAAAGGCCAAAAACATTTCACTATACAACCTTTGAAGCCATATTCTTTTATTTTTTAAGAAAGTAAAAACGTTGATAACTTGAATTTCATGAATTTATTAAGCTCAGAGCAGACACTAAAGCTATTATTATTATTATTATTATTATTCGTACAGCTTGGAAAAAATAGAAGACGCTTGGGTTTGGTGATTATTTGTGTGTTAATTGGTGATTGATGCTTGATGGCAGATGATTTTAATTATAAGAGGGAATCTTCCATTTATAAACTAGCTTCATTTAGCTTGTTTCATATTCTTCATTTCCTTTCATTTTAACATGAAAAATTTTATTTTTTTCTCACATATATGTATGGTTAAATACGATATATATATATATATATATAGGATAAATACAGAACTAAAAGCACATGTATTTTTGCTCATCCAAAAGCACATGTGTTTTTGAATACAGATATATTTGAGGTTGGTGTCCTGTTTGTTGCGTAGTCGGGAAGGGCTGAAGGCCACGCATTTTAAGAACAAGACCACGTGGGTGAGATTGAAGGCGCACCACAAGTTCTATTGAACATTAACATCTCAGTGATGATTATTGTAATAATAATGAATTCTTTTCTCCACCATACAAATTACTATTCCTTCCATTTAATATTCTAAAATATTTTTCACTAATTTATTTTTTTAGTTTAAAATTTTTTATTAATTATATCCCTTAATTAAAATTATTTTTAAAATTTTTATTAATTATTATGCCTTTGAAAATAAAAAATGAAGTATATTTTGAAACACAATAGTATTCCAGAAAAAGAGTTTTATAATACCGGGAGTGATTATAAATTTATAATGCTAAGGTTTGTCCTCTCAATAGCACGTCATTTTGTTGTCAGGTCAATGGTTTTTCGGCAAACAAGATTTCTTTTAATGCAATATTTTAAAAACAGGAAAAAGTTTGTGGATCCCCGTGCGGCTGCCGCTCCTCTGCAAAGCATGATTCAAACGAACTAACTTATGTTTCTAGACGTTTTCAACTTTTCATGTTAAACATGCGTGGATCCATCTCCACACAGAAAAAGGTGGGGCGGGAGATCTGGTCTTATTCAAGGATTTTTCTTTTTCTTTTTGCCAATTTGCTCTTAGAGAATGGAAAAACTTTATACTCCTTTTACCTCAAATTATAAAACGTTTTTAATTTTTTTATTTTAAAATATAAAAACATTTTAAATAAATTAATATTTTATTAAATATATCAATTTTAATATTATCTTTTATTTCTTTATAATTAATTTACTTATTCTCTTTTTAATATATTAAATAATGATATTTTTAAAATTTTACATTTTTATTTTTAAAAAATCAGATTGTTAAGTATATTTAATAAAATTTATTAATATATAAAACTTTATCTAAAAGTATCTTATATTTTGAGACGGAGAGAGTACCAAAAGGGAGGATTTTTTTTTCCTAATTTTCTCTCCCATGCCTCCTTTGGTATAAGAGAAGAGTTTTTGATGGTACAAGAAGGGAGTTTTTTAATGGAAGAAGAAGTGGAAGTGGAGTGAAAGTGAAATAATAAATTTTTTAGCATGATGATGGAAGTGAAAAAGAAAAATATTAAAGTGAGAGTGATGGAAGTGAAAGTTCCATAATTTTTAGTGAAATTGGGTCCTTGGCACCAAAAATGCAAATTTCAAACTTCAACTTTTCCTAAGAGCTTCGAAACGAGTGCACCGAGTGTTCAGCCCGTATAGATTTAAGTTCATGAGCCAAATTTTCTTAAAATCGATCTTTTTTTAAATTCGATCCTTAATTTGTAAAGCTTGAAGCCAAACCTATAAGTCATTTTTTTGTTTTTTTGAGTTGTTTTAAATTAAAATTTTCAATTATAATATTTCATGTTCTTCTTTAAAATAGAAATTACAATACTCAAAAATTAAAAATAAATAATAAAACTTTTAATTGTAAAGTATAATTTTATATTTTAAAATTTAAATTTAATTTAAAAATTAAAAAAATATGGTTTTAGAGATAAAATAAAAATGAGCCTCCTGAATTTGAGTCCCTTTTCAAGGCTATCAAAACCGTGCTTTGGAGTCCGGTTTCTCAAAAAGAAAAATCATTTTACAAACCCAAATTCTTAAAAAAATTATATTTAAATGGACAGTTTATTAGACGTGACACTTATTCCAAGCTTTACTTCCACTTCTATAGTCCCAGCCCCGACGCGCCAAACTGGGCATAGTTCTTTTACTCCCTATTTTCCCATCATTCCAATTGAAGAAGTAAGTTTGGCCAAAAAAAAAAATTGAAGAGGTGAGGACACACAAAGGGAAGGGGAAAAAAGACAACGAATTCAAAAAACGGTAGAAATTATGAAGATTTAAATGAAAAGAAAATAGTTACGCGAGTGACAACATGACTCAGTTGCAAATCTTAAAAGTTTATTCATATATTTTTTAAAAATTAGCTGCAAATAAGTTGTAAATTATGTAAATCTAGAAGCTCAATTGTTAATCTTAGAAGCTCATGTTAAACAACTTAAAAGATTAGTTGTGAATTCTAGACAATTCTTTCAACTAAACTTCCAAAATTTTAACTGAAATTTTGATATTTACAACTAGCTTTCGGGATTTATAAAACACCCACAATTTACAACTTGCTTGCGACTAATATTTTAGGATTTGCATTCAAGCTTTCCAAATTGACAACCTAGTTATGTTGCTAAATACACAATGCTGTTTGCAGTGCAGCGTACTTGTAAATAACGCGACTTATTGTATATCCTATACTATGCATTTCTTCTAATGCTATTTATAAGATCATTTTAAGTAATTGATAAGAATTACAAAAACTAGTCAAGTTACTCATTAATAATAATTATGCTAATAATTGATGTTGCCCTTTCATAATTATTCCTAACTATTAACGGAACTCTAAATATTTGTTCACCTAATAAATTAACTAATGACTTTCTTGTGGATTTATATTTAAAATTATATTTAAAATTCAAAACTTATTACCTTATAAACCATCTAGTTCTATTTGTAGAACACATTTTAAATAATTTTTAAAAGTAAATATGAAATTTTTTGTATATCTTTGTTGTAGATCACTAGTACACTTTTTTTATTGAGTCTTACAGCTGTGTTTACAAAATAAATATTCATATTAAAAAAGTGTTTTAGTATTGTATTCTTAAAGTAAAATTAGGAAGTGAGATGATAGACAAACAGATTATAAGGATAAATTAATAATTTAAATTTTTTTTACCATAAATACAAATATTAAATTAAATATTTTAGAATATTTAACATAATATTCCTAATAGTGTTAAAAATGATAGTAAAGCATAGGTTTTAAAAATAAGAAAAGAAGTATTTATAATTATAATAAAACAAAAGGAATTCCAATTTATTTTACTTTATAATTAATTAATTTGTGCAAATTAAATATAAAGAATGTTTTATTTTAAAATTTGTTATGTTCATGCATATTAAGAATATAAAACTTATTCTATTTTAGAGTGTCTTGTCTCATGTAAATTAAAATTTAAGGAATGACTTTTTTTTTTTTTGGTTTCTCGAGTTGTCCTTACAGTCGGCAACTATGAGATTAAAATTTTAATAAAATGATACCATCCCATCCCCATATAAATATATAAGAAATTATTTTTATCTAAACCATGTCATCCCCATGTAAATATATCCTATGTGATGCGTTGGAATGTTTTAATTTTTAAGAATCAAAATAAAAATAAATATTAAAAAATAATTTTAGTATCCTTAAAATAAAGCATATTACTTTTCTCTTTATTTTATCTTAATTATAAAGAATTTTTTAAAATCTATGTGAATCCCTATTAAATTTAATAGTCAAGAGTTATAAAATACAAACATGCCTTCTATTTTTAAATTTTTATTTTCACCCATCCACACTACAATTTTAAACCACACTCCATTTTTTTTAAAATTAAGTTATTAAAATTTCACATTCTCTCCGTTATTATTAGATCCTCAATTCATAGTAATTTTAAAATATATAAATATATAAAAAAATTTATAGTCGAATCTGACTCTTGACACCTCTAGCTTTTAGATTTATTTATGTTGGTTTAACTATCCCAAGTTGTTAAAAATTATTTTATTTTATTTTTCTTTTTATTGAGTTTATAAATTGTGTCTTTGAATATTTTTTGGCCAACTTATATATTTAATTTTTAAAAAGTTACAAACTTATTTTTTTGGTAATTTAATATCACATTTAAAAAATTAACAAATATATATATATATATATATATAAAGTAAAATTCAGATGTCTGACGGCTGCCTGCCTAAAAAAGTTAACAAAAAAAATTAAAAAAAAGAAAGAAAGGGAAAAAAGGTTGGATGGCGAGCTGCTCAGCTCACACGGGTATAAAACAAAACAGGTCACTATTCATTCACTGTAGATAG